ATTAAGAAAAACAGGAATGAGAATGATTAAGTGAAAGTTGGGTACAAGAAGCGAACCCTAGAAAACTGTACCCCATATGTGCTACCCCACTCTAGCCTACAGTAGCTATGTCATATAAATCTGACAGGACCTGCAAGAAGAACGACACAAGAGAAAGGTATCAGTGCCCGAATTCGCGTTTCACACTCAACGGCGCCACAACAACAACAACAATCGACCGAAAATCGTACCTCCGTTCTGCCACCTCTGCAAGACTTCAGGGCATCCTCGTACGCACTGCCCGAATCGACAACAGTCAACGTCGCCGCAACGCCAACTTCGCCCTTCAAGCAGTCAAGTCGCCTCAACGCAAGCAAATCCGACAACTTCAGTACAAGTCTCAACAACATCGACGGGACAACCTGCGAAAGGAACAAGAAACATCGTCAGCTGCATGGCAAGGCTGAGTGACTCCTGCGTAACTGAGACACCACCATATTACTCACCAGAAGAACAACTCGACAACAGCACGCCTCGCCGCGAGTCACTTCAACCGAACCCGACGTACGCCGCCATCGCTCAAAGCGAGCCGTCCGGGAAGTATACATGGTTCTTGGACAGTTGCTGCGGACAACATATGTGCTCTTCAAGACGTTTCGTTCAACGCGAGCACCAACTTCAACGAGAAGTCGTCATCACTGTCGCCAATAATCAGAACCTGCGCACACGACGACAAGGAGTAGTGCAACTTCAGTCACGAGAGACGAATGTCATACTGCAAATGTCCAAAGTCCTAATAGCAGAAGGACTTGACTACAACTTACTGAGCGTCAGTCAGTTGATGGCGAAAGGCATACATCTGGAAGCCGACAGTACCACCCAGGAGTTCAAGCTGTACCACGGGAAGGGCGGCCTCTACATCGGAAAGGCGGTCCTGAAGAACAATGTCTTCGTTCTCGATTTCGTCCCAGACCTGGGCACCGCAGACAGTGACGGGATCGTCACCTTCACATCTTGGACGCACCCGCCGGATCTCGACCCCGACTTCAGTCCGGAAGGCTTTTGGTATTCACATACCATTCCTGAAGCAGAACGAACACGTGCGTTAGTAACAATACAACATTCGGCAGCAGCAGAGACAACATCGGCAGCAACAGAGACAACATCGGCAGCAGCAGAGACAACATCGGCAGCAGCAGAGACAACATCGGCAGCAGCAGAGACAACATCGGCAGCAGCAGAGACAACATCGGCAGTAGCAGAGACATCATCGGCAGCAGCAGAGACATCATCGGCAGTAGCAGGAACAACAACAGTAGCAGCAACAACGACACCACTCCTCGTTGACGAAGCACCACCAACACCCGCACAGCAGCTGAATCCGGCTCAACGGGAAGTCCATAGAAGCGCAAACTTCACCGCCAGCTTCTACTCCAACTCCGACGCGTATCGACGCTCACCCGGACACCGCGCCTCCGAAGACATCTGGCACACACGCATGGGACACCCAAGCAACACAGTGTTAAACAACACAATAAGAGCAAGAGCCCTTGACAAGGACTCGTTACTACTACTCGACGGCAGAGAACTTTAACGGGCACGAGGAACATGTCTTACCTGCCCCGAAGCCGACTTACCACATCGGCCGTTCACTCCTCATCACAACCCGAGCACACCCGCGTACGCACCACTCGAAAAGGTGTATAGCGACATCCTGTACAATCGGGAACCAGGACAAGTAATATACAACTACACAATCACCTTCATCGACGCCGCCACCCGTTACGTCTGGCATCTAAACCTACCCAGCCGCGACATGGTCCTCGAAGCATTCGCTGCTTGGCTACCAGTAGCAGAAAGAGAGTCGGGCGTAAAGCTGAAAAGCTTCCAGTCTGACGGAGGAGGAGAATACACCTCTCAGCAATTAAAGCAGTACCTGGCGGAAAGGGGAATCAAGCAGCTCCTCTCTCTTCCCTACGCCCATCAGCAGCAAGGTGTAGCAGAAAGAATGAACAGGACTCTGCAGAACAGCATGCGCAAACTGTTGCGTGGCATGCGGCTACCCAACCACCAGTGGCCTGACGCGATGGACCACGCTGTCATGCTGCACAACTTGCTCTCATCTTCATCACTACCGAACAACGCATCACCGCATCTGCTGTGGACAGGAAAACAGGGCAGCACAAAAATGTTACGAGTGTTCGGATGCATGGTACAGTACCGACCCCCAGCAGCACGAGCGGGCCGATTTTCACAACGCGCACAGTGGGGACTACACCTCGGCATCGAAAAGAACTACAACGCGTGGAAAATCTTTGACGTCCACTCCAAGGAAACAGCAGCAGCACGCGACGTCATTTTCTACGAACGACTCATGCTCCAGACATACCTTGCCAACCTGCAAGAGGACCAAGATCCCACAGGTGGTTTTCGTGGTGACCGAGCCTTCGCCTCGGCAGCAGACGAAGCTGACTGGGACGAGCAGAATGTGGCCAACGCATCAGAAGAAGCTGGACCCCTTCCGTTCTGCTCCGTCGACGTCCCCATGGACGAAGATAACCCTCGCGAAAGTGTCAACGCCGAAACCTTCTACTACTTCGCCGACAACGGTTACGTAACACCTGCGACAGTCAACACCAACGAAGCAGAACGAGTAGAACCGAATTTCATACCTGATCCAGAAGCGGGAGATGAAGCAGCTTATCCCGAGGATGCAACTCTTCCCCGCTACTCACAGACTGGACTGCAGATTCTCGGACTCGTCACCGCAGTCGACGGCAACACCCTTCCTAAGGAGCCTGCGACGGTTCAGCAGGCTCTGGGGGGGGAACACAGGGAAAAATGGCGTGAAGCCATGGACAGAGAGTTAAAGGCGCTGGAGGAACGGAACACCTGGAAAGTTGTCCCCATCAGCGTGGCAAGGAACAAGACCATTCTCACCGGGAAATGGGTCTTCCGCGTTAAAACAAAAGCAGACGGCACAATTGAGAAGTTCAAAGCACGCTGGGTTGTGCGTGGATTCGATCAGGAGCACGGACGGGACTTCACCGAGACATTCGCCCCGGTTAGCCGACATACCTCACTTCGAATCCTTCTCGCGATCGCCGCCATGAAGAAAAGGAAGCTACGGCAAATCGATGTCGCCAACGCGTTCCTCTACGCACCTGTCGACGTGGAAATCTTCGTCGAGCTCCCACACGGTACCAACGGGGAACCTAACCAAGTCTGTCAACTGCTGAAATCACTTTACGGGATCAAGCAAGCTCCGCGGCTATGGCAACAGTACCTACACGCTCGCCTCATTCGCATCGGATTCCGCCAACTACCTCACGACCAAGGAATGTACCGACTCACTAAAGACACCGACTACATTCTGCTGATCGTCTACGTAGACGACCTACTCTACATCGGCTCCACTGACGACATCACCACCTGGTTCGAAGGGGAGCTACAGAGGGACCTCACACTCACGGTCTCCTCTACCGTCACACAGTACCTCGGCTTGAACATTCGGGAAGAAGAAGGCGCGATCTACCTCAACGCCGCTAAGTACGCCGACACCATCGCCAAACGCTTCGCGCTCACACCTACCACCATCTCTACGCCCTACCGCTACGCGACAGGAAACCACAAGGAAGGATCCTCTCTACTCAAATCCGTCGGGATACGCGACTACCAGAGAAAGCTAGGATGCCTTATCTTCGCAGCTGTCACATGCCGCCCCGACCTCTCATACTCCGCAAGCCAGCTCGCCACCAACCTCAAGAAGCCTGAAGCAGAACACCTGGCGGAGCTCGACCGCCCTCTCCACTACTTCGTCAGTACCTCAACGATCGGCCTAACTTACTACAAGAACACAACTACACCGACTAAATTAATCGGCTACGTCGACGCTGATCACGCTGGCGACTGCGACAACAGGCGCTCCCGCACCGGCTACATCTACCGCCTCGAACCTATCGGACCGATCTCCTGGCAATCGAGCAAGCAGGAATTAATTGCTCTCTCGTCAGCTGAAGCAGAATATATTGCACTCTGCTCAGCCACCAAGGAAGGACTCTATCTTCGCGAGCTGCTGGAAGAAGCGAAGTTAGCCGAGTTACCCAACTTCACTCTGTTCTGCGACAACCAATCTGCAATTCGCATCGCCAACAAAAATGGATTCGCGAACAGAACGAAGCATATCGCTCTGCGATATTTCTTCGTGAAAGACGAGATTGAGAAGGGGAGACTTGAACTATCCTATTGTCCCACGTCCGAGATGGCAGCTGACTACTTGACCAAGAAGCTCGGAAAACAGAAGTTCGAGTACTGCATGCTGCTGACTGGACAAAGCCACGTCACCAGCAGCGACACTCCAGAAGCGAAGGGGAGTGTTGGGAACAAACAATCTTAAGCGCCTCTGTCGTGTCGAAACACCAAGGCACAAGCGAAGCAGAGCATATCGAGGCACCAGCGAGTCAACCCTCGGAGGTTGAAGTAACCGCTGGAGGTTACGCGAAAGTCAAAGGTCAGCGACCTTTGACTTGACAAATGCAGCGCGACAGCAAGGACACACAACTGACTCGACATTGAGCAGTTGCCCGAGTCGCACTGTATCGAACCGCAACAGTAAAACAGTTTAATTATATCTCTTCGTATTCTTTGTACTCTTATGTAAACCTTTGTACTTGCTTGTTTTAATCAACTTACTTTGCCCTCACATACCAGCGCAAGGTGGTTCAAGGACTTCATTTAAACGCTTCCGCTACTACATCACTCTACCCAGAGTTTAACCCTACCAAAGATCCTAAGGGGCACTCAGCCCAACAAAAACAACTTCATACCTTAAGAGGGACGTGATTCTCTCGTGCAATCGCAGCACATGGCTCATACTCTGCTGTAGCTGTCACCTGCCAACAAAAAAAAGGGTTGGAAAGCAAAACAGAGCATGACATGCGCAGCAAGGCAATCCTCTGCAAGGCTCTCGGAAAAACGGAACAAAGAGAAAAAAGAACAGGAACGCGAATACATCAGCGCACCAGTTTTCCCTGCAAATATCCAGCCTTCACTGGCACCCATCCCCAGGGCGTGAGAGCACTCTCTATGAGCCTCTGCATTGCCACACGCTCACATGGCACTATGCGCACTCCCAGTGTGGTGGTCTCCTGTAACACATGGCCAGGAAAAGAAGAAAGAAGAAGTGCAGATAGACTCTTCAGCAAGAGAGCACCCTCAGCACTCTCCATGAGCCTCTGCATTGGGACACGCTCGCATGGCACTATGCGCACTCCCAGTGTGGTGGTCTCTTGTAACCCATGACCAGGAAATAAAAAGAGATGGTGATATGGATTCTTCAGCAGAAGGGCACCCTCAGCACTCGCCACATGAGCATGTGCTCTGTCACACGCTCGCATGGAACTATGCGCACTCCCAGTGTGATGGTGTCCTGAAATTCGGGAGCAGGTAAAGAGGAACATGGGGACAGCCTCTTTGGCCATACTGCTGCTTCAGCACTCTCCACCAACCTTTGCCCGTCCCGGCTATACAAAAAGAGGAAGATGGGCTGAATGCGCAGTAGTAAAGAGAGTACCAAGCACATGAGTAATGCAGACGAACCAGCAGTGATATGTCTATTGTAAAAAAAAGACGAAAGCAAGAATGAAAGAAAAAAAAAGCACGTACATTGAGAATGATTGAGAGCATATCGTCGCATTGACTGCGATCGCACAGCACATGGAGCACCACGCCTGGCCGCCCTTTCTTCATAATGGCCTGTGTGGGAGTGGTGGTGCGTGGCGGAACACTGAGTGTGATGGTGGTTGTTCTTTCTTCAGAATGGGGTCACAAATTGGAAAAGGGTTGGTTTTCATTAGGATACGATGATGGTAAAGGCTTTGGCTCACATTGGCCAGCATTGACCCACAGTGAGCAGCATTGACTCACACTGAGCAGCACTGACCCACGTTAACCAGGGTTGACTCACATTGACCATCCAGACATCACGAATGCCAGTTGACAGCAGCAGCTCGGAAACATAAGCCATTTGGCCGTTGACTAGGGTGGACTCCCTATATTAGCCAGCGTGACTCAAGTTGACCAGGGTTGACTCACATTGACCATCCAGACATCACGAACGCCAGCTGACAGCAGCAGCTCGGAAACATAAGCCATTTGGCCGTTGACTAGAGTGGACTCCCTATATTAGCCAGCGTGACTCAAGTTGACCAGGGTTGACTCACATTGACCATCCAGACATCACGAGCGCCCGCTGACAGCAGCAGCTCCGAAACATAAGCCATCTGCCCTGGGGAAGTGGGGGATATGTGGATGGGAGGAGGAGGAAAGGAAAAAAGGAGGGAGGGTTAGGGTAAAAGGGGTTGTGGGGACGTGGGGAGAGGGGAGCTACAGGCTAGAGGATACAGTGTTTGGAATGGAGTCTGTTAGACGTTCCTAGTGCGAGAAAAAATGTGAACTGATAAGCAAACGAGTGGATTGAAGAGGAGACTCACGATTTGTGGTGTGATGTCGTCGATGTTCGTTTCTAGGGTTACCAGCTGCTCGACTGTCATTCCGCCATCGCCAGGCGCGCCGCCACCGCCTCCCATCGCCGCTCTAGCCCTAACATCTCCTTTGCGGCTCAAAACAGTGCCAGCCATTGTCGCCCCACTGTAAATGCCAAACTTGACCGTGAAATGCGGAGGAGACCATTGGGTATTGTTGCGAATCGTGGTGGTAACATCGCAGCTGTTTTTGCTGGCGAAGAAAGCGCTGATTCGTTTGCTACTGCTTCCGTAAGAGCCATGTATCGTGCTGCGGTTCCCATCGCTGGAAAGGGATGGAGAAACTGTGCGGAGGAGCGAACTTAGTTGACTGGCGCAAGCCATGGCTGTGAAGTGATGGGGGTTGCAGAGGAGGTTCGAAGCTGAATTTCAAGAGCAGATTTGGGGCGAATTGGGGAATTGGATGGTGTTCGGGAAGATTGGTTCAAATGGGTTGCGAGTGAAACAGAGCGGTCAAAATACATAACCAGATGGGCTTGAGAACTGCTTTATTAGTTTCTTCGCTTTTGCATTGGAAGGGTGCATTGAAATGTATACATACGAGAACAAACGTCAAAGTGAGTGATCTGGGGTGACCCATAATGCAACGTCCTGATGTTGACGGGATTTTCCAGGAGAAAACACCCTTGGCTATTTTCTGTCAGCCGTCACGCCGCGTCGCCCGCGTGTATAAGTTGCCAAACCAAACCTGAGCCTGCTGGGCCGTCCGAACGAAGCCGAAGCGCATAAGCAGGTCAGCGTAGCTGCCCCTCTTTCCCAGCTTCCCCGAACCACCACCCCAGCTATGGCGCCTAATCGCCCCTTTACTCACACTAGTCTCGATGCCGAACCACCCACTGTCTAGACGCCGAGCCAAGCGTGAGCGCCTTCCACCACCAAGGTCCAACCCCAACCACCTTATCGAGACCTACACCGTACTGAAAAGCTATGTAAACTACTTCAGGCGTGTGAAACCTATCGAATGACATAACACATCAAACTTGGTTACCAATTTTTCTCAAACCGCGATCGAATCAAGACTTCAGTTCAGTTCCCTTTAGACGAATGGCTGGCTGGCCCTCCCCCTCTTGTTCTCTCCCCATCGCCATTGCCCGTCAGAATTGCCGATATTTGGATTTCAGGAAGTTGTTGAGGAATCACGCTAGTCGGTATCTAACGCTTTAGTGTCACTAATCGCGTATTGTAGCTTCTCTCTCGGTCTTTAGACATGTCGGAACGAGCTGTGGAAGTTGGTTTACTGGAGAGTTCGACTGCTCAGTGGAATTAAGTCACCTGCTTCTACCCTTCTGCATCGCTTGTTGGAGCTCGCACAGTCATTGAAGGGATACAAATAAAAGAGAGCTAGAATTAGGACCTTGTACTTCTGTCGTGGTGAGGATTGCATCTGTAGAAGCCTCTCAGTGGGCGCGAAGCTTCGACTCCACACTGAGCCTTACTGCAGCGCTGTTTCTTTCGGTTTAGCCTGTTTCGGTTCCTCTCATCGCTTTCACATGGTGATAGTGAATGACACCTCCTCGTTCGACCGTTCACCAACCGGCACTTATTTAAGCGACGTCTGTCCGTCTCTGTTTGTTGGTGATTCTGGGAAACGTGAAAGGGCCGTATAGCCGACAGAACTTGCCATGACGCATTTTGTCGCGCCACGGTCGAACGGCGAAGACGGGAGAAAGGGGGACGCCGCCACGTGGCGCGATGCTGACGGACAAATGCCGGAAATCCCAAGGTCCGCTGATTGGTCAGCCGTCGTCGGGGATCTTCATGCTCGAATCAAATCTTCGTGCTCGCACCGTTGCTGTGATTCTAACGGTGGTGACAAAATGGAGCGTTGCGATGATGTTACTTCTTGTACCGGATGCTGTGAGGAGCAACGGGGGACGGTGTGGTCCGGTTTAAAATGGCAGAAAGCCACGTCATCAGTCGCTGCAGTTTCCGCGAAGGTCGCTGCGTTCGTGCTGCTAGTCCTGCTCGTGTGTTGCTGGCAGCTTTTGTCGGGACCTGAGGGATACATAGTCGGGGTTAATCGAGAGATTCTGGGCGGCGAACTGCATGTGGTGAGTCAACGAGGGTCGGCTCGGAGGGACCTGCCGAGCCTTACTGTCCGAGGCTCATCTCCAGGTCCGGCGGATGGAGAAGAAGCTGGTTCGGGTGATGATGGTTCAGCTGAGGTGCTGTCTACTGCAGATGAAACGGTCAATGACATGCCTGTTTCAACTAGTGACACACTGGAAGAAGTTGAAACGCTTTCAGACGAGGCTTTATCCGGCGATGAACCATCTTCAATGACTGAGACGTTGACTGAGACCGTTTCAAATACCACGTTTACGGATTTGGACTTACCTGAGACGGTTCTGTCAAGATTCGACGGACATATGACAACTGAACCTTCCAGACCTGCCGAGCCTTCCAACCCGAACCTAAACCTTCCACTATCATCCCTGTCAGCTTCGGAGCTAGCCTCGGTACCAGGTTCGGCAGTTTTCGGACCAGCGGGGCTCTCCACCTTGACGGCATGCTTGGAGGTGCTGAGGCTCGCTGCCGGAGCTGACCCGGAGGCTCGGCGTCTGGAGGATTCTGGCTTGGAAGCTGAGATACAGGCGTGGGTGGGAAGCAGAGGGGCTGGGGACGACGAGGGGAAAGCAGCAGGAGAAGCAGAGGGAGAGGAGCTAGCAGGAAGAGCTAAGTTTGCAACAGAAGAAGAAACAGAAACAGGGGCAGGGACACGTGTGGCCTATGAATGCAGAGCACTGATTCGGCGAGGTTTGGGGCACCTTGCCGAGCTTGCAGCTGCCCGGGATAGCAGCAGAGTTGACGGTTCAGCTGCCCGAGAAATAGACGCGGCGGAGGAGGGTTCGCCTGCCCGAAAACAGCGGTCGGATGATGTACAGAGTGAAGCAGTGTGTAGCGATGCCTGGGAGAGAAGACTCCGTGCCCGTCTGTCTGGGGATGAGGAGAGTCAGAAGCGCCGCTCCCAACGCCCCTCTCAACGCCCCTCTCAGCGCCGCTTGTCCCGCTTTCATGCGCCTCTAGATGACCTCAAGGGTCAAGCGGGACACACAGGCACTCGACGCCTCTTGTCCGGGGATGAGGAGACTCAGAAGCGCCGTTCTCACCGCCCCTCTCAACGCCGCCTATCCCGCTTTCATGCGCCTCCAGATGACCCCAAGGGTCAAGCGGGACGGACTCGACACCTCTTGTCCGTTTCTAGGGCGCGTTCAAAGAAAGATGAGGGTCACGAGGGACGAACCCGAAGTCGATTGTCTCCAAAGGAGGGTCGCTCCAGTTCCGCACGCAATGGTAGCCGGAGTTTGGCTCGCCTTTCCGAGCCTGTCCAGCCTTCCGAGCCTGTGCAGCTTCCCGAGCCTGTGCAGCTTTCTGAGCCTGTCAGACCTTCCGAGCCTCCGCAGGCTCGCCATGTACTCGAGGCTCTTCGGAGCAACAAGACGAGTGTGGAGCGAGTGAGGGAGGGAGTGAGGCGAGTGTGTGAGAAAGTGAGGGAGATAGAGAGGCAGCTGCTTCAGTTGCCCTTGCAAGCAAGGGAACACAGCAGCAGCGGCACCAGCAGGGCCAGCAGCAGTAACCATGGCAGTGGCAGCGGCAGCAGCACAGAAAAGGTTGTAGACTCACCAGCAGCATCGGATATTTTGGCAGCATCTGGGGGAGGTGCTACCTGGCCCGAGTCCTGCTGGCCCGTACCTCACGTACCCTTCTCCAGCCCCAAGGTAAGACACTCCTCCTCAGCTCACTTTGGTGTTTGAGGCGACTCATAAAGAAGTCAGCTCGTTACAATGTCACACGATGCTTTCACTGGCCCATACCCCACAACCCTTCTACAACCCCAAAGGTAAGTCAATCATCTGCTGAAGCCGCCAAACTTGCAGCTTCCCTCACTCCTTCTTCTCCCACCCCCACCCACGCTAGCCCATCTTCACCCATTTTCACCCATCGTCCCACCCACCCACCCATCCACCCCTCACGTGTTAAGCAACCGGTGTTTCCTAGTGCTCGCATTCGCCATGGAGCAAAACAGCAACGCCAGAGCTTACCTGCTAGGGGCAGCTCGCCTCGCAGCAACCCTCCCCCGCCCCGCCTCACCCATCCTCACCCCTTTCCACTCCCACCCACCCCAACTTACCCCTCAGGTGTTCACCGATCTGTGCTTTCTTCTGCTCGCGTTTGCCATGGAGCAAACGAGCAACGCCAGAGATCACTTACTAGAAGAAAGCACAGATCGGTGTTCACTCACGCCAGACTCACTCACGCTCCTTCTCATTTCTCATCCACCCCCATCCATCCCTCAGGTGTTCACCAACCCGCGCTTCCTGGTCCTAGCATTCGCCATGGAGCAAACCAGCAACGCCAGAGCCCACCTGCTAGAGGCAGCTCGACTGGCGAGGCTGACGGGGCGAGTGCTGGTGCTGCCACACGTGGGCAGCGGCCGCCTCTCAGTGGGGCGACAGCACCCCCTCTGCTCCTACTGGGACCTCTCCCGCCTCACCCACTCCTCCTCCTCCCCTCATTCCTCCTCCTCCGCTCAATCCACTCACCCCCCCTTCAACTCCTCCTCGCTCCCCCCATCGCCCCTCCCATGGCCCCTCCCATCGCACCTCCCAGTTGAGTGGGTCTCGCCTGACCTCTTCCTCCTCCTCGCCCGCTCCTCCCTCCCCGCTGCACCATCTGTCGGCTTCGTGTGTGTTGAAACACCCTCCCTCAACCGGCCCTGCTTCGATTTCGGTAAGCCTACCCTTTGTTCCCTCTCTTTCTCCCTCATTCCCTCCCTTTCTCCCTCATTCCCTCCCTTTCTCCCTCCCTCTCTCCCTCCTCGCCCCTCCCATCGCGCCTCCCTGTGGAGTGGGTCTCGCCTGACCTCTTCCTCCACCTCGCCCGCTCCTCCCTCCGACCCAACCCATCTGTCGGATTCATGTGTGTCGAGACGCCCTCCCTCAACCGACCTTGCTTTGGTAAGCAATTTTATTTTATCCCTTCCCCAGATAGATAGAACCCCCCAAATCTCCCCCCCTCTCCTCACTCCATCCCTTCTGTCGGCTTCATGTGTGTCGAGACGCCCTCCCTCAACCGACCCTGCTTCGTCTTCGGAAAGGCTCTTCACGTCTCTCCGTTCCTCAGCCTCGCATCTCTCCTTTCCCAAACACCAGTTATCCCCGTCTTTCTCCCATTCTTCCCCAAAACCAACCCCCCTTTCTTCTCCCACTCATTCCCAAAAAATCAACCTCTTTCTCGTGCGGTTTCACAGGAAAGGTAGCATCTGGGGGGGGTTGCAACTCCCGTTGTTACCGATTTCCCCATCCCACACTCGCTCTCCCCCAACATCAACTCAAACAGCTTCGCTTATGGATTCATACGGAAGGTAGCATCTGGGGTGGGTGCAGTCCTCACCTCACCTCCTGCCTTGACCACTCTGGCTATTTCTATCCACCCTCACAACTAATCCCTCTCTCCCGGTCTCCCAAACTCCACAGGGGAGGTAGCATCTGGGTTGGGTGCAATCCTCACCTACTCTCTTGGCCAGCTCTGGCCATTCCTTCTCAAGTCTCTCATCTCTCGCTTTTTCTTCCTCCCTTTTTTCCCCCACACCACAGGGGAGGTAGCATCTGGGCTGGGTCCCATCCTCACCTCACTATTGCAGGGGAGGTGGCATCTGGGCTGGGTGCCATCCTCACCTCACTATTGCAGGGGAGGTAGCATCTGGGCTGGGTGCCATCCTCACCCATTCATTCCCTTGGCCAGCTCTGAGAAGTCTCAAACGCCACTTCTCTCCCGCAATCTCCCTTTCCCCTCACTATTGCAGGGGAGGTGGCATCTGGGCTGGGTGCCATCCTCACCTACTCCCTTGACCAGACCTGAGAAGTCTCCAACGCCACTTCTCTCCCCATCCATCTCTCTTTCGCAATCTCCCTTTTCCCTCACTATTGCAGGGGAGGTGGCATCTGGGCTGGGTGCCATCCTCACCTACTCCCTCGGTCAGCTTCCCACTCGTGCCAACACTCAGGTCATTACAGTCCGCAAAGCCTCCCGATTCCTCAAAGCCTTCCAAAAGTGGTAAGCATTACTGGAAATGGTAAATACTCTCTTGGTCAGCTGCCCACGCTTGCCAACACTCAGGTAATCACAGTCTGCAAAGCTTCCAAATTGCTCAGAGCCTTCCAAAAGTGGTAAGTGACCTTCAAGAAGATAGCCATCCGCTGGCCCACCTCCCACCTCATTCACACCATCCCACCCCACCCCAACCCTCCCCACCCCTTCCCACCACACTCCACCCCATTCCACCCCTCTCCACCGCATCAGGCAGCACACAGACGTGGTGGTGTGGGTGAAAACGACCTACAAGAAAATGGCCATCCGCCCGCCCACGTCCCTCCTCGCACCCGTCCTGCTGCCCTACCATCCGCGCTGGCACATACTCGCCCGCTCCATCGCCTCTGCCCTCCCTCGCCCATTCATTGCGCTGCACTTCCGATCTGAGTACATCGCATGGCTCGTGGTGAGTCCCACACGTTCCTTGGAATGCTTTTGAGGCGCCTCAAAAAACATCGCATGGCTCGTGGTGAGTCCCACACATGCCCTGTGTGTGGTGTGCCTCTCTTCCTGCTGCCCACGTCCCTCCTCGCGCCCGTCCCGCTGCCCTACCATCCGCGCTGGCACACGCTCGCCCGCTCCATCGCTGCTGCCCTCCCCCGCCCATTCATTGCCCTGCACTTCCGCTCCGAGTATATCGCCTGGCTCGTGGTAAGTAACCCGCACACACGCCTCATGGGCAATCCCTCCCTGCTGCCACCCACGTCCCTCCTCGCACCTGAACTGCTGCCCTACCACCCACGCTGGCACACACTCGCCCGCTCCATTTCCGCTGCCCTCCCCCGCCCGTTCATCGCTCTGCACCTCCGATCCGAGTACATCGCATGGCTCGTGGTGAGTCCCTTCCTGGTGCCTCCTCGCCCCCACCCTGCTGCAGTACCGTACCACCCGCACTGGCAGGCACGCCCTTTTTTGAGGCGCCTCAAAAACCGTACCACCCGCACTGGCATGCACGCCCTTGCTCGCTCTATCGCCGCTACATAGAGAGACTCCTCACTCACCAACACTAACCCCTCCTCCGCCTCAGCCTGTCCCTCCCTGGTCTTCCCCTCACGCGTATTCTCACAGGGAGGGAAGCTGCAGCAGGAGCAGAAGATAGGCAAGCAGATGCACTGGTGCGCGGCACAAGCGACCTGACCTTTAGAAATGCTATCTCACCCACTTTAACCTTTCCTCTCCCTCTTCCCTGTCGCCCTCCCTTCTATCCCTCCCTCTCGGCCTCACTCCCAGGGAGGGAAGCTGCAGCAGGAGCAGAAGATAGGCAAGCAGATGCACTGGTGCGTGGCAGAGGCAAGTTGTTGAGCAATTACACCCTCCTCCCTGTCTCTTCCCGTCTCTCCCTCCCCATCTCTCTCAAACACAGGGAGGGAAGTTGCAGCAGGAGCAGAAGATAGGCAAGCAGATGCACTGGTGCGTGGCAGAGGCAAGTTGTTAAGCACTTACACCCTCCTCCCTGTCTCTTCTCGTCTCTCCCTCCCCCTCTCTCTCAAACACAGGGAGGGAAGCTGCAGCAGGAGCAGAAGATAGGCAAGCAGATGCACTGGTGCGTGGCAGAGGCGGCAAGAACCGTGCACCAGGTGCAGCAGCAGCTGTCAAGGGGGATGGAGGCGACGCTGGCGAAGGGGAGCTTTGAGGCGCCTCCAAAGGCAGAGGCGGCAAGAACCGTGCACCAGGTGCAGCAGCAGCTCTCAAAAGGGATGGGGGGGACTTTTGAGTCGACTCAAGAGGCGGCAAGAACCGTGCACCAGGTGCAGCAGCAGCTCTCAAAAGGGATGGGGGGGACTTTTGAGTCGACTCAAGAGGCGGCAAGAACCGTGCACCAGGTGCAGCAGCAGCTCTCAAATCATACGGAAGGGACGTTAGCAAAGGGGAAAAATTCCTCCAGTGGTGATTCGCCTTTCCATTACTCGATAGCAAGCACGCCTGGGAGTTTGAATGAGGCTTCGGGACCGTCTTGGCATTCCCTAAGCAGCAGCAGTCCATCGGTGTTCATTAGCGCGGATATTGCCTTCGGGGCTGCTGCTGCCGCCGCTGCTCCTGCTGACGCTGCTCCTGCTGCTGCGGCTCCGGCTGCTGGCGCTGCTGCTGCTTCCATACCCGATACAAGCTTCCCCAGTAGGAAAACAGAGCAGAAAGTAGACGAGGAATGGCCGGTGCGGTCAGAGTCGTGGGGGGTTATGGTGGAGAAGTATAGGCGAGAGCAGACCACTGGCGCAGCTTCTGATGCGTCTCAAAAGTCATCTGGTTTTGACACGGCTTCGAAAGCAGAGGAAGTATGGCCGGTGCGGTCAGAGTCATGGGGGGTTATGGTGGAGAAGTATGGGAGGGAGCAGACCATTGACGCAGGGCACCGCGCCCTGCTGCAACTCAGGGCGCTTGTCGATGGTGATGGGGATGACTATAAAGGGGATGGAGGCATAGGCAGTACCCATAATAACAGCAGCAGCAGTAGCAGGGGAAGCAGTAGCAGAAGTGATGGCAGTGCCAGCAGTGGCAGGGGGAGCAGCAACAGCAGTGGGTCAAGAAGCGTGACGGAATCTGTGGGCTATGGTGGCTTACCCAAGAGGAGTATCATGATTGACGAGATTGTTCCTTCGGTCAATAAACTCGATCCAGGTATGCTCCTTTCGTGTCCAGTGTCTCTACACTCACTTATTCCTCAGCAATTTCGAGTACAGTTGTTAACCCACTGCCTCATAATCATGCAATATGTTTCACTTCATTTATTATTTTTAAGCAGGGATAGTGGGGATACTGGATAAGCTTATTGCTGCACAAGCGAACATGCTTGTTGTTGGAGTTCGCTATTGTGGAGGAAGACGTGGATTCGAGGCGGATATCTTGGACCATCGGAAACAATTTGGCAAGCTGGCTAAAAGCGTACATCGATGGGGAGAGAATGTACTGCAGCATCGCCGAAGGCGGCTGCACTTGCAGAAGGAAATGTCAAGTGATACTTACGATGAATAATAAGAGGGAATTTTCGCATCAGCAACACCTTGTTGCACATGCCTTGTTTTTCTAATATGTATAATGATATTTGGTTTAGATGCTTCTCCATTGCTAGCTGTATGAAGGTGATGGTGTAGTGTCTAAGCGGGATCCACTTTCCCGCGTGCTTTCACCGTTTTCATGCGACTCGAATTTATCGTATTCGCGATGCTCCGCGAGATGTTCCGAAAACGTTACTTGCCGGAAGAAATCCTCGCCTGGCCATTACGGTTACTACACGGTGCTGGAAAAAAATCACCAAATGGGCAAGTTCGCCCCGCCCGCGGAAGGCTCAACGATTGGCCACCTCGAGCCGCAGAGCTACAAGAAAATAGCGAGGCGCAACGGCTCTTCCATTTTGCGCATGCGTGAGACGAAAATGTCGAATTTCTCGCCTTTTGAACTCCGGCGTTGTTCTGCAGGCGTTATTGGCGCCGCACCAATTTGACCGCCGTGGCCTTCCATGTGATTTCTAGGCGCATTCATGCGGGTTGCGTTGCACGGTAATTGCTGGCCCGCATAACTTGTGCGGAGGCTGATGCTAGCTCCCGAGGTAGAATCAGCACTGCACAAGTTGTGCGACCATTTGCCCGGCGAAGCAACAACTTCGAGCCTGCAGACGGTTAAATTTGTGCGCCGCAAAAGTGGTGTTCTGCAGGCGAGAGCGTTAAATTTGGCGCGAACAGGTTTGGCAGGACCTCTCTTATCACCAAACCTTGATAGGCAGAATACCGCCTATCAACGAAGATTCTGCGGACCCAGTTTCTGGAAATTTAACGCCTACAGAACAGCACCTCTGTGGAGTTCGGACGGAAGCCCCTCGACATTCGGAGTGAATTCGTCCTCACGCCAGCAAGGAAGGCATGTGATAAAACCCCACGGTTTGTAATCGGTGTGCTGCGCTTCAGAACGGTCGTGTAGATAAACGGCTTTCAACCGTGTACAACCCCAATATACAGCACATGAAATCAGCCGTCGAATACGGAGGTTCCCCTAACGGCCCCGACTCCGACTAACTCTGCCGCCGACTCGGTCACCAGGGAACGACGGCGCTTTATAAGGCGGTACCGCACAGGAGCACTTTACGATTGCCTCCCTCTTGATCATCGATTTCTAATCGTTGCTACTGATTGCCGCCGACTGCTGTTGCGTTCATTGCAAGCTGCAATTCGTTTGTGCACAGAGGGAGGAATCCGCTCTAGAGTCTAGACTCCAAAGACAGCTCTAGTTACAGCGTTAGAAGCTAGTCCCTCCGCATTTTCTCTTGGCTTATACCGTATTTCACCCCCGTGCGTTGACTAGTCTCAGTGCCTGAACCCTTCGTCCGTCCTTCTTACATGCAAGTAGCCAAAACGAAACTGGTTAGACTCGCAGCGCCACCCGCTTGTTGACGCGCCTCAGAAATCGCTTTTCGTAGAGGCCACTAATAACGCGAAGCCTCGTCTGAGTCTTCTTGATTTCAGTTTTTCCAGGCGCCTGAAAATCACCCTTTCTTACAAACTTCCGATTTTCCAGCTGCGCGAAGAATGACAGGGATTCTTAATTCCACATCCAGGCGTGGCAGATTAACAGATCCATTGCAGGTTCACAGAACAAAGCGAGCGTCAAGATCCATGTCGCGTTTTTTCTCCGCGCTTTCGATTCTCGCGCTTTTCATCGTTTCATCTGGAATGTGGGCGACCGCGGCGCCCATTTCAGCCGCGCCGCCCCCTGCCGCATCCCCTACTGGTGGAGCTCCCGCATCGCGTCTCCGAGGAGGCGGTGCGGTGCCGAAGCCAAACGCTCCATCGATTACATCAGCAAACAGCACCGTCAAACCTACCGGCTTTAAGCCTACCGGCCCCGAACCTACTGGCAACAAAACTAACGGCGGCAATCCCAGTGGAGCCGGCCCCAAACCTACGGGCACCAAGCCTAACAGTGGCAGTCCCAGTCTCACCAAGCCTGTGGAAAATAATGACTCTACCGTCAATTCCACGAACAAGAAGAGTCCGGCTAAGCCGGCGGATAAGACGGCGGATAAGACGGCGGCAAAGCCGCCGGGGGCCACGGCGCCGAGCGCGAAGAAGCCAGTGACGGTGCAGAGCAGTGCAATTGAGAGTCAGCGGCAGCGAATGGTCGGTGCGCGTATCAGCGCGGCCGGGGAGGCGGGCTCCGCGTCGTGGCTGGTGCAAAACGGCGGCGCGACGTGCGACATCTCCGTCGGCACGTGAGTTACCACAAAAACGTCTGTTTCCGTTTCGCAAGCGTTTTGCTCGCATCGTCAGGGATCTTTTATATATATCCACGTGTCTGCCCATCCAAGCGTCCGCCCGTACACGTGCGCCCACACACGTGTCTGCCCGTCCGCATGTCCGTGCATCTCTGGTAGGCTCAATCAGCCTCCCCATCTCCCCCACCCGCTGCGCTTGTCGTATCTCAGGTGGATTCCCAGCAGCACGCGGCCCGCTTACGCGTCCACGTGTCCGTACATCTCGAGCAAGTTCAACTGCGTGCAGAACGGGCGGCCCGACGGTGGTTACCAGCACCTGATGTGGCAGCCGCGCGACTGCAACATGACACTGTGAGTGTTACAGATTGCATGCTTGCACCCACCTTCATCCCATTGTTTGAGCCGAACATTGAGAAGTAAAAAAAAACGGCCAGGCCGACGGTGGTTACCAGCATCTGGTTTGGCAGCCGCGCGATTGCAACATGACGCTGTGAGTGTTACACATTGCATGCCCGCACGCATGCGACTCTCTAAACCTCTCCTCCTCAACGCTCGCGCTCGGGCCCAGCAGACCTTTGAGTCAACTCAAAAATTGCTTCTCACGCCCTTTACCTTTACTTTGGCCTTTTTTTTTCTGGCACATTCTCCCCGCTGCACTTCGCGCTCATGTTTCAAGACAAGACGCTCGCGCTCGTGGGCGATTCGAACGCGTACCCGCCCCCTTTGCCTTAACCCTCACCTTCGCATACGTCTCTCCCACTCCTCCCACCCTCGCCTAATCCTTTCCCCCTGCAGCTTCTCCCCGCTGCACTTCGCGCTCATGTTTCAAGACAAGACGCTCGCGCTCGTCGGCGACTCCAACGCGGAGTACCTCTTCCAGTCGCTGCGCTGCCAGCTCAGCACGGGCCTCGAAACCGAGGTGCGGGATTAGTGATGCGGGGAAGGCCGAAACCGAGTATTGGCAGGACCTCGGCCAATTGTATTGCTCGCCCCAACCAACCTTCCTAAGGTTGAAATTCTTGGGCCGCGGGTTTTCACATATGCAGAAAGTCTCTTCCAGTCGCTGCGGTGCCAGGTCCAGATGAGCTGTTACTATGATGCGGGGTAAACCGTTTGTGAGATTCTGCAAAAGCAGCTTACAAGATACGGAGTATCATTGTTCAACAATCTCGTGCTGCTTCTTGTTTTTTAGCACACCCCCTGAATGCTCCTCTCCTTTTTCTCTCCCAAATTGCAGACTGTGAATGCAACGACGGCAGGAGTGGGGAGGCGTTTATCGTGGTTGGATCCGGCACTCTCATGCGCTCCTTGTTGACGCGCCCTTCTCAACTCCCTCTTCTCACCCCACTTGCGGAGAGTGAATACGACAACGGCGGGAGCGGAGGCATTTAGAGTGATCAGCTCCAACACCCTCGTACTGCTCCTTGTTCATTTCTCCCGCCTGCTCCGCTCCCACTTCTCACCCCACGTCCAGGCTGTGAATACGACAACGGCAGCAGTGGTCAGCTCCAACACCCTCGCGCTGCTCGTTGTGCTGCCTCTTGTCTCAACACACACCTTTCCTGTTCCACTACGTTCCCTCACCCCACTTGCAGAGCGTGAATACGACAACGGCGGGAGCGGAGGCATTTAGAGTGATAAGCTCCAACACCCTCGTACTGCTCGTTGACGCGCCCTTCCTGTCCTATGCTGCTCCTGTCGCTCCTGTAAGTACCAGATGTTACTTAAGTGCTGACGTGAGTTCTTTTGCTCGCTTGTGAGCGGAGGCATTTAGAGTGATAAGCTCCAATACCCTCGTGTTGCTCGTTCACGCGCCCTTCCTGTCCTATGCTGCTCCTGTCGCTACTGTAAGTACAAGTGCCTGGTATGGGGGCTTACTTTAGCGCGGAATTTCAGCTCTTGTGTTGCTCGTTGGCGCGCCCTTCCTGTCCTACGCTGCTCCTGTCGTGCCGGTAAGTGCGAGTGCTATTCCTGCTTATCAGCTCTCTTTTGAGACGTCTCAAAAGTCGCGCCCTTCCTGTCCTACGCTGCTCCTGCTGTGCCGGTGAGTATGAGACTTGGTTTATACTCGCGTACTTTGTCAGGTGTTGACATTTGCTCTCGTGTTGCTCGTTGACGCGCCCTTCCTGTCCTACGCTGCTCCTGCCATGCCGGTAAAATACAAGTGCTATTCCTGCTTTTCAGCTCCCTTGCTGCTTGTTGAAAAGCAGGAATAGCACTCGCACCGTTCTTGTCATTCGCTGCCCCCCTCCAATACTCCTGAGACGGCTCAAAAGTCGCTGCCCCCCTCCAATACTCCTGAGACGGCTCAAAAGTCGCTGCCCCCCTCCAATACTCCGCTGAATCCCCCTTCTCTTTCAACCCATTTCCTTCCCCCTCGCTCTTCCCCCTCGTGCCTATCGTCCCTTCAGACGCTACACTTCTAGGCCAGTGCATGGAATGTGCATCTGGACGTGCTACACCCAACTCTCCACTAACCCGAACCCAACAAAGCATTTCCTTCCCTTTCCTCCACTTGTCTTTCTTGCTTGTCACCCTTCAGACCCTACAATATAAGTTCAGTGCATGGAACGTGCATCTAGACGTGCTACACCCAACTCTCCATCCACTTGTACCCATTAGAACCGTTCCTTCCCTTGTCTCACTTTCTCCCCCTTTTCAGACGCTACAGTTCAAGTCCAGTGCATGGAACGTGCATCTAGACGTGCTTCACCCAACTCTCCGCCAAATCCTGCCAGACGCGCACGCCGTCATCTTCTCGTCCGGATCCTGGTTCATGCCGCCCGGCCGCACATACTACAAAAACGGCCGCCCGCTCGCCGCCCAGATCAACGGCCTGCAGGCGCACAGTGCTGTGCTCGGCGTTCTGTCGGACTATCTGGCTCAGCTCAGGTCGGGCGGCGGAGCTTTGGCTGGCACTCAAGCAGCAGCAGGAGCAGCAGCAGGAGGAGGGGTTAATGGCGCAGGAAAAGCAGGAGCGGGAGGAGCGGCAGGAGGAAAAGCAGCAGCAGGAGGAGCAGGTGTGACCAGAAAGCAGTTACTGTCAGCTGCAGCTGCTGTTGGTGATTCTACCACCACTGGAATCACCACCAGCAGCAGTAGCAGCAGCAGCAGCAGTGGTCAGTTCAAAGGAACCTTCCCACGCACCTTCTTCCTCTCCCTCCCCCCCGCCCACACCCCCAACACATTCCGCTACCAAGACACCACCTGCGGGGTCTTCGCCGAGCCTCTCTCCGAACCGGACCAGGCCTACGCCGTCAGCCACAGCGCCGAAGCTGCCTGGACAGCCTCGGAACGAGCCGCGCTCACAGGTTCGGGAATCCAGCTCCTGGACATTCTAGGCTCGGCGATGTACCGACCGGATGGACACGTGGCGACGTATGGTTCGAAGGGAGGAATGGGGGCCATGGATTGCACCGGGTGGTGCTTACCGGGAGTGCCTGATGCTTGGGTGGACATGTTTTTCCATCTGTATGCCAGCCCGACGGGAATTCAGCAGCTGCTGCTGGGACTGGGGAAGGTGGTTGGGGCGGGTGCGGTGGGGGATGTGTGCTGGCAAGTGCCTGGATCGGCACAGACCATCGCAGGGTATTACTAGATGCAGGGAGATGTGCTGCACAGACGGTGGCAGGAGGGGATTCAGCAGTTGCTGCTGGGTCTGGGGATCGTGGCTGGGGCTGGAGCAGCGGAGGATATGTGTTGGCAGGTGCCTGGGTTGGCACAGTCAATCGCAGGGTATTACTAGGTGGGAAGTTGCGCAGCAGAGACAGGGTGGTGGCAGGGAGTGTTATGCAAGAACTCCCCAAAACACCCACACTAGGGGTCTCAAAACAACACTACGTGGTTTGCCTTAACTGCCAGTGTAAGCTGGTGCGTGTGAGGGGGGTCCGATGGATAGGCAGCTCAGATAACTGAATGAGGGCATTAGGTGTATATGGTTGTTCCTTTACAACCAGGTAGACTTGTAATGCTGCTTATAACTTGAGACGCAGATAAGAGCTGTTACAACAGCTGCAAGGGCCTGCCTGCCTGTAGCATCATCCTAATAATCTTGTCGCAATAACATGTATTTGTTCCCGACAAGACATCCAAGGGCTGGGCTTGGTTCTAAATTAGCCACTGCTGATTCCTTGTGAAAATGAGCAGGTAATGAGAAAAGATTACAAACCAAGTCACTGTGCTACCGGTGTAACTTGCATATTGACCTGTTATTAAATCCTTAGGCTTCACTACCATAGTACCATGCCACACCCTGATCATCTCCTTCCGCTCGCCACAATACAGAGTACCATCCTTCCCTCCTCCCCCACATAGTCACTGCCGTGCCACACCTCCTCCCTGCATCACGATTCATGCCGTTCCAACATCACCCCTCCGCCCATCTAATCCTCACTAGCATGCCACACCCTGATTGTCCCCCTCCTCTCGCCACAATACAAAGTCCCATCCCTCCCCAACGCCAACGCACACACCTCCTCCCCTCCCGACACCATTCCATCCTCGAATGCCGCCAAAAGACGCCGCCCACGCCACGCAAAGGTAATCCCCCTGCCAGTGCTGTCACCCCCTCCCCAACCCTCAAACCCACCACCACCACTAGCACCACCATTCCCACCACTGCCAGTGTACTTCCCACCTCCAGGGCAGTAAACCGCCGAATCGGGGCCCACTACAAGACAATTTCTCGCCGCCCAATCCTGCCGCACATCCACGCACTTCCCGCCGCTCCAGATCCTCACCTCTCCGTCGAGAGAGAGGGAATAGAGGGTGGGTCCAGCTGCAAAGTAAGGACTCGCACCAGCAGTACCACCAGCAGCACCAGCACCCATGCCATTCCCACCTCCACTGCTGCTGCCATTATCTTCACCGGAGAACAGAAGGGGAGGACCCACAGCAAGGGAAATCACCTGTGCCTTGTGCCCTCTAAGAGATGCCGCCACAGCACCACCCCTATACACACAGATAGGATACTCCTGCTCCTCCTCTGCTCCTCCTCTGCTTTCATTGCCCCCAATGCTCCCACTGCTAGTTTTGAGACGTCGCAAAGCTGCCACAGCACCACCCCTAAACAAACGGGGGTTCTCCTGCCCCTCCTCTGCTCCTCCTCTGCTGCTCCCACCGCCCTCCCTCGGCGGCTCGTGATTGGCTGTGAAGTAGATGGTTCCGTCGGGTGCGGTTACCACATCGGCAAACCCGTGCTTGAAGGGGGAAGCGTTGGTGCTGTCTCCACCGCCCCGGCCACCACCTGTGTGCTCCCTATCCCAGTCTCTATCCCAATCTCTGCTACCACTGCTGCCGCCTCTCCCACCGCCGCCGCTGCCGCCGCCGCCACCACCGCTGGTGTTGCTGGTTAAGTGAGACGGGGTGCTTGTACCGGCTCGTAACACACCCACTCGTCGCAATACACCCCTCTGCCCTTGCTGCTGCTGCTGCTGCTGCTGCTGCTGCTGCTGCTGCTGCTGCTGCTGCTGCTGCTGCTGCTGCTGCTGCGCCCAAGCTGCAGCATCCTCCACCACAGCCCAAGCACTCACCTCGCCGTCACTAAACGCTACCAGTAGCACCCCGTCATGCCATGCCATGCGCAGCGGCAGCGACCCAAACTCAAACCCCCCCTCCACATCTCCACCCGCTCCTCCTCCCCCTCCTCCTCCTCTCCACCTCTCTCCCCACCTCTCTCCGCCTCTCCTGCAACCAGTGCACCCCACACACCTCCCATCCCTCCACATTCTGATTTTCCCATCCTCACTGCACGAGAACAGAGTGCCTGAAACGGGGTCTAGAACCAAATCAAAGACCGCAGCAGCAGCATCTCTTCTCCCTCCGCTCCCTTGCTCACCCGAACTATATTCACCCGACCAAGACTCACCACTGTTGGCAGCACTGTCCCATCCCCCTCCTCCACCAGAGCACACAATCGTATCCAGCAGATGAGCCGAGATCTGATTCCGCCGCCACAGACGAATCGTGCCGTCCAGGCTGCCCGAGAAAATAATCTCGCCTCTCGGGCAGACGATAATTTTGGTCACGCGGTCCGTGTGCCCGGGAAGGCTGCCCACAAGAAACCCTCCCTGCCAAGGCTGCCTCGCTAGAGTCATCTGAGACTTTGCAAATGACCGAGAGGCGAGTGAGTGTGGTGCAGGAAGCTTCTTAGAAGGAGCTGCTGCTGCTGCTGCTGCTGCTGCTGCTGCTGCTGAACCTGGTGGTGCTGTTCCTTTGGCAACACGCTCAGGCGCGTTGGAAGTAGGATCGGATTTCACCTGAGAAATCACCTGAGGTCCCGCCTGAGATCCCACCTGCAGGCTTCTCACGGCTCCAGCAAGATCCGCCCCTCCTGCTGCAAGCAAAATCCGCGCTTTCTGCTGCACCTGCCCCTTTAGCGCCCCCACCTCCTCAGTCAAAGCCTGGATTTCCCCCTGTAGGTCCGACACCAGGTGCTCGTACCCCACGATCAGCTTCTTGGCCTGAATCAACTCGGCGCGAGAGGTGGCGCAACACTGCGGGGCAAGGAATGAGCAGGGAATGTGCAAGGAGGCAAACGAGAAGAGAGTGAATCTCCTGCTGAAGGCCACAAACCAGGTGCTTGCACCCCACTATCAGCTTCTTGGCCTGAATCAACTCAGCGCGAGAGGTGGCGCAACACTGTAGGACAAAGGAACGTATGGAAAGGAGGGCAGAAGAGAGAGCGGGCAAGTGAGATCCACCTAAAAGTCCCATACCGCCAGGTGCTCGTGCCCCACTTCAGCTTCTTGGCTTGAATCAACTCGGCCCGAGAGGAAGCGCAACACTGCTGAGAAAGGGAAGTAAGAAGAGGATAACTGAAAGCACGCTTGAATTTACCCGTCAACTTGACATCAGGTGCTCGTGCCCCACTATCAGCTTCTTGGCTTGGGAGGAGGGGAGGAGCAACACTGCTTGAGCAGGAGACATATGGGGAGGAGGGCAGAGGAGAGAGCGCGCACGTGAGGTCCACCCTGAAGGTCCGACACCAGGTGCTCATCCCCCACTATCAGCTCCTTGGCCCTTCTCAGATCGGCGCGAGCAGAGGGGCAACACTGTTAAGCAAAGCAACGGACGTAAGAGCTCAGGACAGAAACAAAACGCAGAATCCTTGCAGTTTCAATAAAACCCCTTGCGGTAGGTCCAAATGGTTTTACCCTGCAACCAGCTCCCAGGCTCGCTGCAGGTCTGCTCGAACCGAGGAGCAACACCTTGTGTGCTGACCTGGCAGTGCCGGGGCTGTGTCTTGCACTGTAGCTTTTGAGTCAACTCAAAAGATAACTTTTGAGTCGACCCAAAAGTCACCTCGCTGCAGGTCTGCTCAAACCGAGAAGCAACACCTTGTGTGCTGACCTGGCAGTGCCGGGGCTGTGTCTTGCACATTAGCAAGTGCTGCTTCACGTCTAGCAACTCTCCCCTCCAATTACACCCATGTGTGTAGTTCGCACACCGGACCTCCGTGCTGGTACGGAGGAGAAACAGGGAAAAGAGGAGGAGCCGATTATGACAACTTAGAGTGGCAGTATGAGAAGACATGACAGTGTGAGAGGAGATATGCGAGGAGCGAGGTGAGGACGGGACGATTGCAGAGAAATTGGGTGAAGAAGGGAGAAAAAAAGAAGGCAAGGGAAGGGGGAAGTTGGAAGATTTACGGGGAGAGATAGTTAGCAGCTGACCTGCCAAGCTGGCGAAAAACGATAAAAAATGCTTCCCGTATAAAATCGGAAGAGAAAGGAGAAGAGGGGCAAAGGGCAAAAGGAAGCTGGAAGAGGGACGGGGAGAGATATACAGCGGCTGACCTGCCAAGCTGGCGGAAAACGATAGGATTTGCTTCCCTTAGGGGGCGAAGATGATCTTGCACGGGCGACTGATCCTGTTGGTAGGGTGGATGGACGGATGGGAGGGATGGGTTGACGGGTGGTAGCTGAACGGGTGAGGGATCGAGGGATGGATGGATGGACGAACAGTTGCATATGGAGCAATGTAGAATGAAAGGACACTTCTCTCGAGAAACAGGAGCTTAAAATTGAGAATAAATTACAAAAATGACAAAGGAGAGGCATGCCTCACCCACCATGGGGCACGTCACGCATTTCTTCTCGATGGCTTCATGCACACATGGCGAGCAGAACACATGTCCACATGCAGCCTGCAGGGGACACCACGTACAACACACGGAAAAAGCGACGCATAGCATGCTTGTGAATTAATCTCATCAAAATGAGCGCAACAGGATATGATAAGGCGGCTGGTCATGAGTCCATTTGCAGCTCTCACAACAACATCAACGCTTAACAAGAAAAATGTCATAATGCTACTTCCCCCCTCCCTCATGAGCTACTGAAGCATTTTTCTCCTGTGGAAAAATAAAACAAAACAAAAAAACTCCACCCTCAGGCGAGTCACCTGAAGAGCGTCGGTGGGGTCGACGAGGTCCGTGCAGTACACGCAGATGAGCTCCCTCAGCAGCCCTTCCAACAGCTCGCTATGGACCACGCGCGTCGTCTCCACACCCATGCCGTGTGGAGCAGCTCGAAGTTTCAAGGATAAACACGAAACAGCTTAGAGCAGCTACGAGCAAGCACACTGGACGAACGCACTGGAATCGGCGCAGCAGTAACCGCAACATGCACTAGGCGCGACCGCCGCGGTTATTTTCTAGACGACGTTCAGTTTCCAGGAAGGAAACTTGAGAAGAACTTGCAGCACGCAACTGGGTATTGTTTATGACCTTTGACGGCTGGTGAAGGCGGCGAGGAGCGCGGGCAGCTGCTGAGGGCGATGGTCCAGCTTTGTACCTTGCAAGGATGAACTGCTGCAATTAAAACTTCAATCTACATGACAAGTTTGACACTTCGTATCAGAACTCACACAAGGTTTACAATACACCAGCGTTTGACTCAGTACAGATTCACCCCCCAATCAAAGCGTATAAGCTAAGCTACAGCTACCAGTATTGTACTGAAGGTTTGTTTGCACAAGAAACATGAAATTGGTTGGTCGGGAGTCATAATCCATTTGTGTTCCCTCCCTTGATCCATGCAGTCACCATCTTCAAGCATTTCACCTGTAATCATCCTCCAGGCTGCGGAAAGCAGCTGTGAGCTCTTCGCTCAGCTTCTGATACTTGGCCTCCAACACCGCCTTCCCGTCTGCGGGGTCCTCGAACTTCTGGGACCTGCAATGAGAAGAAAGCACTTGTGAAGCCCGGAACTAGGTTGACTGGGAAGTCTTGAAGCCAGAATGTAAATGGGGCATTAGCAGGAGCAAAGTGTAACACATACACAATCTTGTAGATAAGGTCACCAAGCCTCTGCTTGATGACATTGAGAGTGATCTTCTGGCCCTCTGAACCTGCTGCCCTCTCCACAGCCTGAAGCGAGCAATAAAGGGTTAGCGAAAAAGGTTTGGAGCTGTGACACAGAAGTGAAACAAGCCTCTTTCAATATATGGGCAGCCAAGGAAACATACCTGGGTTGCAAGCTGATAGAACAGGATGATGTTGCGAAGCATCCATACAGACTTGTAGAAAGGGCAGAACTTGTCATGCCTGAAAACAAACCAGAACGTTAATCCCATAAACAAGGAAATATATGAATGCCAACGGGTAATGAACACAACGTTGGGAAATCAAGCAGCAACGAAGGGACATACGAGGAAAAGGCGTTCTGGGCCAGGTAGTCTTCACGCAGCAGACGAGCTGTCTCCAGAATGATCTTGTCACCTTCAGCAAGGGCATCCTTTCCGACAAGCTGTAACACAAAAACAAGGCCATCAGACCACTTACTATATCAGAAAGTGAAAAGCGAAACTGCGATCGACATCAAGTGTAAATTTGAACAACAGCAAGAAGCAAGACAAGAAAGGATTTGAATGCATCCGATTCTTACCTGCACAATCTCGTTCAGGTCATCCTCACGTTGAAGAACCTCACGGGCCTTGGTACGAAGGGAAATGAAATCTGGCGATTCCACATCATAGAAAGACTCCAACGCCTGAAAGGAAAACAAATGAGCAACAATCCCAGGAAAAACACAAAGGGGTGTTTCTGTTTAAAGCTTTAGTACACATTCAACCCGCTGACAAACTGGGTGGGCAAGTGATAAACCTTCGCTTAACCAGCCTGAATGTGGCCCTTCGCTTCACACATGTAAAAACAGGTTACCAGGCTGAGGAATATCACTTGGTAAGTGAGGCAAACTTACGTTGGTGTACTTGGAATAGGAAATGAGCCAGTTAACAGCCGGAAAATGCTTTCTTTGAGCGAGCTTCTTATCCAGACCCCAGAACACCTGCTCATTTCAACCATTCCAAGATAAGCAACCTTTGTTAACAAAAAAACCTTAAAACATTCCAAGAACACATGTAGAGATAAGCCAAATGGAAGCGCCACTAACCTGGACGATACCGAGCGTAGCGGCTGTGACAGGATCCGAGAAATCACCACCAGGAGGAGACACGGCACCGACAATAGTGACACTTCCTGTGCGGTCAGGGCTGCCGAGGCACTGAACCTTACCAGCGCGCTCATAGAAAGAGGCCAGCCTGGCAGCCAGGTACGCAGGGTAACCACTGTCAGCAGGCATTTCAGCCTGTTGATAAAAGTGGGGTATAGGAAACAGTAGACATATCAGTTACTAATTGTAAAACAAAAACCTATGATGTCCCACCAGTTAAACAGCTTGGCTCCAACTTACAAGACGCCCAGAAATTTCACGAAGAGCTTCTGCCCATCGAGACGTGGAGTCAGCCATCATGGCCATGTTGTATCCCATGTCTCGGAAGTACTCAGCAAGAGTAATACCTGTCAAGCAGCACAGAAAGATTGTCAGGACCTATAGGATGTATTCACTTTAACAGTTTCATTGTTAAAACGCTATCTGGGAGGTCTTACCAGTGTAGATCGATGCCTCTCGAGCAGCCACAGGCATGTTGGATGTGTTAGCCACAAGAGTGGTACGCTTCATCACAGACTCTTCACGGCCATCAGGAAGTGTCATGGTAAGCTTCGGGAAGTCCATCAGCACCTGCAAGGAATTCCGACCGGTCATTTCCTAAATACTATTCACAAGATCAGAAAAAAAGTGCACTCAAGTAGGTAAGAGACGCACTCACCTCAGCCATTTCATTTCCGCGCTCTCCGCAACCAACATAAATGACACCGTCGGCATTCGAAAACTGCACTGACAGTGAAAAACCAAAATCAGCACATGAATTATAGATAACAAAGGACACACATATTTCAATATGTGCCTACCCACCTTGGAAAGCGCCTGACTGATGACAGTCTTTCCGCAACCGAAAGCACCGGGGATAGCACAAGTACCACCAAGCACTGAGGGGAACAGGGCGTCCAAAATTCGCTGCCACAAGAACAAAATGTCGTAGTGATCAGTAAGCCAAGACATTGTTCAAGGTCTCACAACGAAATGTTGAAGTGTTCATAACATACCTGGCCAGTTAAGAGAGGAGTGTCCGCTGGTAGCTTTCGTGCCACAGGACGGGGAGAACGGACTGGCCATGTCTGGAACGCATGGCAAGAGGTAAATTGAAATAAGCACTTCCCGTGGCAACAAGATATCGACTTAGTAAAAGTATGGCCATCATACCTGAAGCATAGTGTACTGCTTTGTCTGCCCTTGGAACTCAAGTTCAAGGACTTTATCCTGCTCAAAAAGATTAAAAGTGGTTCTCGTTATCCAACAATCCATCCGCGAAAGAGTAATAGTTGTGCGACGAATGATGAGTTCCTATATTACCTTCAAACTATATTGACCAGGAGGTGCGACGTAAGTGACCTTCCCCATGGCTTTCGGAGGAGCACAGATCTTTTGTGTCATAAGGCTGTTTTCGATGACAGTCTGCACGGAGAGCAACGAAAGCAAATCCGGTTACGGACCTTCACGGAAACGCATGGAAATAACGGGGCCATAAACGGTACATACCCCGAAAATGTCACCACCCGCAAGGATATCTCCAACATCTGCAACCACGAGGCGGGAATATGTCACTCGTAAGAACCAATATCGACAGAACAGCCCGTCCACCGTTAATCATAATCAATATAATCTTACTCAGAGCCCTGGGCTGGAACTCCCAAAGGATGTCCTTGTCAAGCGCCGGAACCGCGACACCACGCGGAATGTACACATTGCCGGACCTAATGGCGATGGTTTTCAACGGCCGCTGCACAAACGCAATATCCGGCTCGTTAGAATAAAATGTATGGATCTGATATGTTCGTTAAATGGCAAGACAGAAAATGATCCCACCTGGATACCGTCGAAGATGTTGCTGAGAATACCAGGGCCGAGCTCCACCGAAAGTGGCTGAAACAAGAAACATATGGTCCAGAAAGGTAAGAAAAACGAGGACTTCGGCAAGGAAAGGCTAATGCAAGCCGAAAACAAGAATGTCATCTGACCTTGTGAGTTCGAAGCACCGGATCTCGAACAGTCAGACCAGATGTTTCCTCGTACACTGGAAGAAACCAGGGGGAAAAGGATCGACTATTTTAGGTCACCGACATGCTAACGGACACCCAGGGGCCGCAGAATAAATGGAATGCACTGAAAACAAATCTCTGAAAATATTAACCTTGAATAGTTGCGGAGTCGCCCTCGAGACGAATGATCTCTCCGATAAGTCTATCATTTCCCACACGGACAAGCTCGTACATAGCAGCTCCTCCCATGTTATCTGCTATCACGACAGGCCCCGAGACCTGAAAGCGGACGACATCAGCCAGATCAGACCTCTACGGCATGTTTCAACTTTCACGGGAGAAAAAAAAATCGATGGATCTTCCGGACCTTCTTGATGTATCCATACTCGCTCTCCTTCTCAGCGTCCTCAAAGGTAGACATTCTAAGATCCGGCTAGAAGCGAAGCGAAAGCTCGAAAGGAAAGCGAGGAAACGGCGGAGCAAGGGCTCCTTCCCAAAAGACCACACGATCACAGAGAGCTGAAAATTCTAATTCTGCAGAGCAGGGAAGGGGCTCTGCCTGCTGTTGTGCTACTGGGAACTTGCAATCCTCGAAACAAAGGCAATTCTGTCTTCCCCGTGCCGAGCAATAGCGGAGGAGGCACACAGCCCCCGCTAGTGTGCTTCTGCACAGGAGAACATGCGTTCGTTGCCACGTACTCATCGATTGTACCGTACTTGACTGTGCACTGTATGCATTTATTGGAATGCAAAGTTGGAAATATGAGATCTAGGTCAGGAGAACATTTGTTATCTTAAGCGATTTGTTTAGTGTATGCATGATCAGGCCAGACGCAATCTAGACGTGAATATGGAACACAGCCAGCAGAAACCAGCAGCCAACTTAGAATAGTACAAGCTACACTCGTACGGTAAATGCCAAGGCAAGAGCTCCACCACCCTAGCACACCGGTCCTGCTGCTGCTCCAAAATCCACACGCATTGACTTGCCACCATCTTACAAATTCTTCCTTAATACCCTCCCTTAAGATCGTTAACCACGTCGTACGGAATAGGCGTCACAGTCTCCATGGTCGTACCGGGCACAAGGAACCCTGGCCGGGGGCCGAGGGGCTTCCTCTTGCCGCCCACCACCGCCGGAGCGGGCGGCTCCAGCGCCTTCACCGCCCGCTTCTTCCTGTCCTCTTCATGCAGCTTCGCCTTCTCCTCGTCCGACTTTTTCGGGCGCGCGTTGCGCTTCTCAAGAGCCTGCAGGTACTCGAGGGTCATGGGTGCCGGCTTCTTGTACTTCTTCTCCTTGGCTGCGCCGCCGGCGGCCTTGCGGGCCTCGGCGTTGGCTGCCTTGTGCTCCTCGTTGGCCTTCACACGCGCCTTGAAGTCCACGTTGCACCGGGAAGGGGTCAGGTGCTCGATGCGCACATGGAGGCGCTTGCGCACAATGCGGGTGTTCACCTGAAGAGGGGGATTTAATAACAGGGAGAACAAGGGGGGAATTTAGGTCACAAGCGGGCCACGTTGCACCGCGACGGCGTCAGATGCTCGAAGTGCACGTGCAGGCGCTTGCGCACAATGCACATGTTCACCTCCAGGAGACGCGGAAAGAGGGGAGAGTGGGTGTAAGGAGACACGGGAGCAAGGTGACTTTTGAGTAGACAAAGACGACACCTCGCTTGCGCACAAAGCGGGTGCTCACTTGCACGCGGATGGGGGAAAAGGTGGAAGGGGCATGGTTACGGGGATCAGGGTTGGATAGGAAAGTGGAGAGGAGCATAAGCACAGTTCGGCTATCAACACTCGTGTGCGGAATGCACAACGCAAATGCTCTCTTGTAAGGATGTAACAGGGGAGGGAGGACGGGAAAGGGAGGGGAAGCCTGGGGAGCAAAAGAGGGAAGGATGAGGGACGGGGGGGAGAGGGGGGTGGGATGAAAGGGTACTAAGGGAAACCAGTTAGAATCAATCTGATGAAGAACCACGAACGTAGATTTGCTGCAAAACATCCATGCAAACATTGTCCTCTAGGGTTTCGTTCCCCCGACCCCGCCTGCCCCCTCGTATGCAACAGAGCGTCACAGCGTCCTGGTGCAACACGCAGTCTTCGAGAGACCCCTAGCGGGCCGATCTTCCATCTCTATGCAACGCTGCTCTGAGTTCTGACACCCGACCATCTATACCCTAGTTCAGTCGACCTGCGCCACACTGCACGCTCGCAGTCCTACACCCCACGCTCGCTAGGGCTCAGCATTACAACATACAACCTACAGCATTACAACGTCCGCTATACAGCCTAAAGCCTTACGCCGGGTAACGCTTCATTCCCACCACCGGTTTGGAGCCTTTCACACAGCCACCCCTTTTACCCAAACTTCACGTCCTTACACCCAGCCATGCGCAACAGTGCACGCATTCTTTCAACAACGCAGTACTCGAGTCCCGCGGTCAATTAATCCCTTAGCCCCGCGATCCCTCAGCTCCGCACTCCCCCAGCCCCGCAGTCCCCCAGTCCCGCAATCCCCCAGCCACGCTGTCCCTCAGCCCTACGGCTCCCCAGCCCCGCAGTCCCTCAGCCCCACGGTTCCCCAGCCCTGCAGTCCCTCAGCCCCACGGTTCCCCAGTCCCGCAATCCCTCAGCCCCACGGTTCCCAAGCCCCGCAGTCCCTCAGCCCCACGGTTCCCCAGCCCCGCAGTCCCTCAGCCCCACGGTTCCCCAGTCCCGCAGCCCCTCAGCCCCCCAATCCACCAGCCTCGCAATCCCCCAGTTCTCCAGTACCCCAGTTCCTCAGTCCCCTATGTCCCCAGCTACGCAGTTCGCAGTCTCGCATCTCGAATCCTTCTAGAACCGTGCCGGAATGCTTTCTCTTGCGGAAGGCCTCAGCAATTGACGTTAACAGGAAAACGAGGGAATGAAGCGGAGGAACTTCGCCTCTCTAAAACCTAAAACGTTAGTTGCCGCCGGGATACCTTCAAAGTGGGGCCATCGATCTCTACGAATCTCCTATCAACCTCCTCGCCGTCCAAATCCCTTTACTCACTATCACTAATCTTGATCTCCAGAGCTAGGCGACAATATCCACCTATCTCAATAAACTGATCACACTCTAAATCCAAATCCCCCATGCAGAGACTGAACTAGCACACCCGCGCTCATGCCATGCCTACATTCTCTGCTCGTCTTCGCAAGCTGATCACCGCCAGAACTCTAGATTCTCGTTGTAATGAGTAGGCGAATACGCTAAGAAACTGCCGATCATTGCCCAGGGGTATCAGTTCACAGAACTGCTTGCCGGTTTTGACGCCAGTAGGGAGCGCGCGTGCATGCGACGACGTTGCAAAAGCGACCTAAGATCACGGCCAGCTTACTTGCAGAACGGCGCTGCTAATCTTAACTCCCAGTCTACGGTCCAGATTCTCCTGGCTCCACGACCTAATCCAGCTAGGATTCGAGAGGGCGATTGGTAAGGTTCATGGTCGTTCCCTGATAGAACTAACTTGCCACGGACCTGCTTGTTGACCTCCACGCCAAGAGCGCGCTTGGTGACGTTCCAGACACGACCGGTCTTTCCCTGGTAGAACTTGAACGGCATGCCCTTCTGTACGGCGGAGTTGACCTTAATGTCGACCATGTCGCCGAGCTTGTACGTACGCAGGTACGTCGAGATGGGGATGTAACCATGCTGGCGGAACCCGCGCGAAAACATGTCGCGGGTTCGCGAGCGCAATCCATGGCCCTTCATTTTGGGATTTTTGGGATGGGAACCCTAGCCTGTGTTAGCTGCTGCTGCTGATGCTGTGCCTGATTCTGTGGCACTCTGCTGCTGCTGTGACGCAGGGAGAAAGGAGCGTCCCAAGGGGAAAGGGAGAGACTGAGAGGAGGAAGAGGAAGAAGAACGGCTGAGAGGTGAAGGGGAGACGCAGGCACAGGAGAACGGGAGCAGGGAGCAGCGAGCAGGGGAACACAGGAGCAGAGGAGGGGCGCGCTGCAGAGGTGAAGGGAAAGCAGGGGACGAAGCGGGGGAGAAAGGGGGGAGAGGCGGAGAAAGGGGAAGCGGCGGGTGAGGGAAGGAGGCGGAATGTTGGGGGTAGCTGCAGCGGGTGTCGGGGGAGTTGGAAAGCAAGGGAAAGGATTTGGGTGGGGTGAGGGGATGTGGAGGGACAGTGCTGGAGGGGAAGGGGGAAACATACACCTAGTCCGCGGTATTTTAACCACGTGAACTGTTTCGCTTCAAACACCCTTTGTTCGTTTTCGGGTAATGAGATGGGCACCCAGAGACTTCAAGGCTATTGTTTTGCAGCCATAATCATTTCCTTATAAAGAAACTCACACTTAGTGCTCCGAAATAGAGGGCGGATCGGCATTGACCGGGTTTTGACTGCCATCGTCTCACAAAGGGTATGCTAGATTCTACCCTCATTAAATTTAAAAACTACTCTTATAAAAAAGTTTGACCAAGGAGAAGTACCCTCGCGCGGTTAAGATAGCGGCGGAAATACCGCGGAAAAGGTGTATTGGGGACTGGGAACATTTGTATCGGGGGAGATTATGCGGCGGTGGTGCGCCACAAGTTGGTGCTTTGATGTTTGCTTTTCTTTTGAAAGCTATTTCTGTACATAGAAAACTTAACATTGCTACAGTAAACACTTCAAAGTGCCTTCAGTAATATTGCGTGACGCCATCTCGTTGATTGCCCCACGGCCACCAGCCCCTCATTGCGCAATGCCGTCTTCTCGCGATTAGTCCCGTGCGATGAAGATTTGCGAACGAGCACGGCCCAATCACGGGCTGAAGCAAGCAATGGTCCAAATTTGTCTTGGGATTGGTTTGGTTGGGCTTTCGAGCTGGGTTCCACGCGGTTCTAGAAGGTGAACAAAGCATAATTTGGATTTCTATACGGTGGACTCGGATATCCTCTTGACATCCTGCCAAGTCGGCATTTTCGAGGGGACTGATCCCCCCAATTTCTTCGGTTTCGAGGCATTCAACCCAGCAGTGGTGAAATTTCTGCTTTTTTGTGGTGAGATGATAGATGCTTTCCCCCAGTCCAGTCCTTCCTAATGGCTTCCGCTGCTTCATATTACGCGACCAACGCGATTTCTGGAACCATCAACCATGACATTATTGTTCCACGCGTCTTGAATTGCTCAATCAAGCTACGTATTAGTGGAAGCACGTTACTTCCGAAATCGAACGCTAGGCGACTCCACCATTTCGTGGCGTCCAAGCGAAGTCATGGAGCTACACTCGTCGAGGAGTCTCGAGGTCGAGGCTGTTATGCGTCGCGAGATGGCGTGATCTCAGCGGCTGTGACTGTAGAGGGTGGCTTGGCGACGGCCACGGAAGAAAAAACCGTTGAGGAAGAGCAGTTCGATTGGGACAGAGCCTGGTATCCAGTAGGTACGTGAATGATATGTTTTTAGAGCGGCGGCGTCATGAAAGTAAGCTCGGACCAGGAGTCGCCATATATTAGCAGATACAATGCCTGAGATTGTTAAAAAATGTGCATCAAGCTTAAATAGAAGACGCTACTACCAGTAGCCATTTGGATAATCGGATGGCTTGATATACAAACATAGTTAGTTTGCGCATGTTTTGCAACAATTCAGCTGAACATGCTTGAATATCATAGGTCATTCTTAGCTTAATTAGGGGGAAAGCAGTCATAGTGCATGTCTTAAACAACGTAATCTCATCCTCCTTTATTACTTGTATTCTCGGAATTCCTCCCATTCCTCCAACTCCTCTTTCCATTGTCTCCTATTTCTCTCGGCCCTCCCTTACCGGTGAATATCTCTGTCATTTCTCGCTTATATCCTTTATCTCACTCCCTTTTTCCCACAAACATAATCTCCCCCATTTTCTCCAACGTGTTGAGTACATTCCCACCCCTTACCCCAACTCCTCTGCGGTCCCTCCCTTTAAATAATCACCCTCACTCCATTGTGTTAATCACACTTCCCTCCCCTCACACCCCCCCTCACCGCACCTGCCAGCTCTCACCAAGACTCTGAACAAGCGCGTTCCCGAGCCTGTGACCATTCTCGGCCGCCCATTGGTCATCTGGTTCGATCAGGTCTCCGACCAATGGCGGGTCTTCCATGACCTCTGCCCACACAGGTACTCACAATTATTACCGTACTTCTCTCTGTCCTCTTTAATCGCTTTTACTAATAATCCGGTGATATAGGAGTCATGTCAAATCACACAAATTCCAGAAATCCACGAGTGGACCCGTTCTCTTTTCTTCACTTTCTCCAATTCCATTCTCTCTTCCTCGTACCTTCCCCACTCTAGGCTAGCCCCGCTATCAGAGGGGCGGATCCACGAGTCAGGGCAGCTGCAAAGCTCATACCACGGATGGACGTCCTTTCAATGCCCAATTCTCGCTTCTTCCCTCCCTTTCTCTCAAATCGTTTGTTTTTACTCCGTCCTTCCACTCCACCCCTTTCCCAGGCTAGCCCCGCTATCAGAGGGGCGGATCCACGAGTCAGGGCAGCTGCAGTGCTCTTACCACGGATGGACGTTCTCAGGAGAAGGTTCGTGCGGGTTCATTCCCCAGGCTCCCACAGACGGAGCAGCGATGAGTGGGATGGGATGCGTTAATCTTTCCATCCTTCTGTAACATCAAGGGAAGGTTCGTGCGGGTTCATTCCCCAAGCTCCCACGGACGGACCAGCCGTGAGTGGGATACGTGAGTGAGTTCGAGGGGGGGAGGTGGGTATGGGGTGAAGGAGGGTGGAGCGAATGAAGTTAGGAAGGACGGGAATGTGGCCAGATTATCCCCTCTGCTGCGGCCAAAGTAACTGCTGCCCCCCCTTCCCCTATATCTCATTCCGTCCGAACCTCCATCTTACGTTGCCCATGCCCTGTTGTTTTCCTCCCCTCCCACTCCCTTCCCCACCCTGCTGGCCCCCCACTGCCCCCCTTCCCTGCTCCTCCCCCTCTCCCAGGTGAACGCCTCCCCTCGTGCATGTGCGCGGGTGTACCCTTGTCGGGAGCATCAAGGCATCATCTGGTTCTGGCCGGATTATTCCCCTGCCGCTGCCGCTGAAGCGGCTGCTGCTACGCCTCCCCCGACCCTCCCTGAGTTTGACAATCCGACTTTTCGATACGACACGGGCACGGCAGACTATGAATACGGGTGAGCAGCTTGGTTTGCATTGCATACATGCTAAAGCTTTTGAGGCTTTTGAGGCGCCTCAAGTCCCCACCTCTCGATACGACAAAACGAGCATGTCGGACCGTGAGTATGGGTGAGCTGCTTGATCTGCAAGAATGAAAAGGCCTTTGAGGCTTTTGAGGCTTTTGAGGCGCCTCAAGTCTTCGCCTCTCGATGCCACACAACGGGCATGTCGGACCTTGAGTATGGGTGAGCTGCTTTTGCAGGTGAGCTGCTTTTGCAGGTGTGGGTTCGAGTGTTGGGACGCCTCAGAGCTTTCCCTGAGTTTGATGACCCAACCTTTCGATACAACACGGGCATGGCAGACCTTGAATACAAATGAACTCCTTTGCAAGGCTGGGGTGTTGAGACGTCTCAAGTTCGAGTTTCGAGACATCTCAAAACCTCGCGTGTGCGCGTCGCGTGTTTCTGTCTTTTCCTCCCCACTCCCCATTCCCCTCCCCGCTTTCCCCGTTACCTCCAACCTTTCCCACTTCATACCTGTCCCCACCCCCCACAGCTACGAGATGCTGATGGAAAATCTGCTTGTCCCAGCGCATGTGCCGTCCGTGTGTTTCTGTCTCAGACGCCCCATTCCCTCCCTTCCCTTCGTCCCTATGTGTCTCCACTCTCGCCCCTTCCCCCCCACAGCTACGAGATGCTGATGGAAAATCTGCTTGACCCAGCGCATGTGCCCTCCGTGTGTTTCTGTCTCAGACGCCCCATTCCTTTCCCCATGTCCCTACCACCCTCCCTACCCGGCCCGACTCCCTTCTTCCTACCCACAGGTGCTGACAAAGAATCTGCTTGACCCAGCGCATGTGCCGTCCGTGTGTTTCTGTCTCAGACGCCCCATTCCCTCGCTTCCCTACGTCCCTTTGTGTCTCCACTCTCGCCCCTTCCCCCCCACAGCTACGAGATGCTGATGGAGAATCTGCTGGACCCAGCGCATGTGCCCTTCGCGCATCACAAGCTCCAGGTGGGAACATTGAAGCTAGAACCGACACCAGGGTCTGATGCTCGTGGTAACCATTCTCACACCATTCTCACACTTGGACTGTCTAGCCCAGTGCGTGGCACTAATTAACCAGCATCACCGCACAAGGCATTGAGGGGAACAAGCCTCGTATCCCTCCCTCCCTCCCTCTCCCGCATTCCTGCATTCCCACCAATCACAGGGCGATCGCAACAAGGCGAGGCCACTGCCATCCATGGCCGTAGCCAGCATCACCGCACGAGGCATTGAGGGGAACAGCTTTGGATTCGGCCCAGCTGCTGTGGTGCCGCCCTGCACTCTCATTCAGAAGCTCTATATGGGGGGGAAAGTGGTGAGGCCCATTCGTTACAATCACTATTTGATTTCTAATACAGCGCCTAAGAGAAACGCCCAGTTGCTGTAGTGCCGCCCTGCACTCTCATTCAGAAGCTCTATATGGGCGGAAAAGTGGTGAGCTCCCTTCGTTATAAGCACAATCGTTCCGTATAGGCGCTTCTAATTACTGGCCCAGTTGCTATGGTGCCAGCTTGTATAGTCAAAGTCGCCTCATCTGGTTTTTCCGGAAGAACACCATTCCTGCCTGGATGCTCATGCTTCCTGACTGGTTCCCTCACCATACCGTACTGTGGGTGGGCATCCAGTCAGGAGGCATCTGGTGCCCACATCGGAGCTGACTCAAAACTCACCCTGTTCTTTCTTTCTTCTCCCTGGTAACTTTTTAGTCGACTCAACAGTCAAAAGTCACCTTTTGAGTAGACTCAAAAGTCACCATACCATGCCCACATCGGAGCTGACTCGGAAATCACCCTGTTCTTTCCCCTCGCCGGTCTCCCACACAACACTCCACCCTGCCTGTTCCCCTCCCTTCCCCTTCTTCCCTATCCATACGCTTTTTTGAGCAGCCAGAGGGGTCGGGACAGAAGCAGCGCACGGTGATTCTCTTCTTCCACTATGTTCCCCGCCTGCCTTCTGAGGTGCCTCAGAAGTCTCTTCTTCCACTATATACCCCGCCTGCCTTCCCACCTCTCCTGTGAACCGTGCATCCCCACTTAACATCATACAACCTTCCCTCCCCTCGTTCCCTTCCCTCCTGATGTCTGAGCAGCCAGAGGGGTCGGGACAGAAGCAGCGCACGGTGATTCTCTTCTTCCACTGCATCCCCCGCCTGCCGGGTCAGAGCCGCCTCATCTGGTTCTTCCTCTGTTCTTTCCCCAACAACACTTTCCCCCTCCGCTTCCCTCACCACACGCTATTCTGAGCAGCCAGAGGGGTCGGGGCAGAAGCAGCGCACGGTGATTCTCTTCTTCCACTGCATCCCCCGCATGCCGGGGCAGAGCCGCCTCATCTGGTTCTTCCTGAAGAACACCATCCCTGCCTGGCAGCCCATGCCCCCCGAGTGGTTCGTGCACCTGCTGAGGATGAAGGTATCCGACACCGACCACGTGCTACTGCACCTCACGGTATGTCTATTCGATAGACTGAGTTTCTCACAGATTTGGATCGCAGATGGAATCTGGGTCTCTAACTGTATGGCTCTTGATATGTTAATCTGTCGTGTTACATGGTAACCAATGGGCGCGTAGTTTCCCCCCTTTCTCCCGAGTTCGTTGTGCTTGTTATGCGGATGAGAGTGTCTGATTGACACTGACCACTCGCTGTATCTTTTGAGTCGACTCAAAAGTCATCGCACTGTCTTTTGAATCAACTCAAAAGTCGTCTCCCGGGTGGTTTGTGCTCCTTATGCGGATGAGAGTGCCTGACACTGAACACGCGCTGCATCTTCCCCCTCACTGCAGGACCGCGGCTGGAGGAGGGGGGAGGGGCGGTGCAGGGGGTAAAGAGCAACTACCCTCCCACATTGTCAGTGATTTTTTAGAATTCTCAAAAATCACTCGCAGGGTGTAAAGAGCAACTACCCTCCCACGTTGTCCTACTTGCTCTCTCTGCCTCTGTCTGTGCCTGTCGCCCCTCTCACCTCTATTCCCAACTTCTGGTACCGTTACCTGTTGCAGGAGCGGCGGCTGCAGGAAGAGGGAGGGGCGGTGCAGGGGATAAAGAGTTACTACACTCCAACTTCGTCCGACTCGTTTGTCTCGGCCTTCCGCTCCTGGCTGGTCAGATTTGCCGGCGGCAAGGCCCGTTTCCCCACCTATGTGGATCCGAAGCTGCCTCCTGCCAAGTCTCGACGAGAGATTCTCGACAGGTGAGAGGGAATGCTCTTTATAAGGGAGATGCTGTGTGAGGGGAAATTTTGGGAGATGCTGCCTGTGGGGCGGCAAGGTCCGTTTCCCCGACTATGTGGATCCAAAGCTGCCTCCTCCAAAGTCCCGGCGGGAAATTCTTGACAGGTGAGGTTTTTCTCGGCGGTTGACTATGCTGTGGTGTGATGTGATGTGATACGCATTGTTGGACGGGGAGCCTGAGGGGGCCTTGTTATGCCCGCTTTTCCTGCCCTTGCCCATCCAAAGCTGCATTTTGCCAAGTCACTGCGGGAGATTCTCGACAGGTAAGGATTAGTGGGCTTGGTGTTGACAGGTAAGGATTAGTGGGCTTGGTGTTGACAGGTAAGGATGAGTGGGCTTGGTGTTGACAGGTAAGGATTAGTGGGCTTGGTGTTGACAGGTAAGGATTAGTGCGCTTGGTGTTGACAGGTAAGAATGACTGGGCTAGGGTTGGGACGGTTGAGAAGGAGAGTTTCTTCTAGACAAGCACTACAAAAAAGCACTGGCTGTTTGCTGCTTAAGAAAAGGCTACTAGGTAAAGCACGGCCCGCTTTCCTGCCTCTCCACTTCCAATATCCACTCCCCTCTTCTCCCCCCCCCCCCAAACTCCCGCAGGCAGCGCTTCCACGTGCGGCTGTGCCCCGACTGCCAGCGGGTGCAGCGCTGGTCTGACTGCCTCCGCGTCGCCCTCTGGGCTGCCACGCTCCTCCTTCTCGCTGCCATCGCCCTGCTTCCCCTTGCCCCACCTGCTGTTCGGCAAGCTGCGGGCCCCACAGGTGCTGTCTTTGCAGCGGCTGCTGCGGTGGTGTGTGCCGCGGCTGCCCACTGGTTGAAGGGGTTCATTGAGAAGAATTACGTGTATGAGGACTTTGTGCATGCGCTCTGGTACCCTGCGATTAAACAAACTCACAGGTTACAAATGTCAAGAGCACAAAGTTGGCATTTCTGAGGCGTCTCAAAAGTGGAGTGTGCGGCTGCTGCCCACTGGTTGAAGGGGTTCATCGAGAGGAATTATGTTTATGAAGACTTTTTGCATGCGCTCTCTGGTATCCTGCAAAGAAATAATCCAAAAGATTGCCAAGGTGAAGTACCGTAGCTGCTGCGGTGGTGTGTGCTGCTGCTGCTCACACTGGTTGAAGGGATTTATTGAGAGGAACTATGTGTATGAAGACTTTGTGCATGCGCTGGTATTCTGCGAAGAAGTAAACCCACAGGTGTGCTATGTTTGTACTAGTAAATAAGTTGTTTGTGATTGTTCATAATATCTGTCGGAAAACTCATCATCTGTGGCATCCCATCGCTTGCCTTCTCCTTCCTGCACTCACCCTCCCTCCTTTCTTCTTCCAAGCTCTGTTCCTCTGATACCTTACCTGCTCTGCCTCAGCCACTACCATGAGAGATACCGGCTCCCACAGATGGCTACTCACAGTGGCCTCGTCACCTAGGCAGGAATTAGCCGTAGAACGGTAACATGAATCCACTATAGAGAGCAAACAAACGAGAGAACGAACTAAGCAGTGAGTTCCTAGTCTATTTGAATCTCTACCCCGTGCCGCGCAGTTTCCCGTAACTCACATTGGGCTCTGCCCGCTAGGCTTTAGGATTGGCCCTTCAGATTGCCCAGGGCTCGCCCTTGAATTTGTCCCACCCTGCGCCTCGCAAGTCCCTGAATCACCACTTTGCACCAAACTCACCTTCTACAGTACTTCGCATAACCCAACTACACCTACACTAGCGAGTAACCGAATCTATTGCAAACAACAATACATTCTGTGACAGCTGTCGGAAAACTCATCATCTGTGGCATCCCATCGCTTGCCTTCCCCTTCCTGCACTCACCCTCCCTCCTTTCTTCTTCCAAGCTCTGTTCCTCTGATACCTTACCTGCTCTGCCTCAGCCACTACCTGCCCCCTCCAGAGCTCGTGCTCGGGTCTCCCGTGCACGTGTCACTGGACACTCTTGCTGAGGCCGGGTGCTTCTCACCACTGCAGCATCCGTCAGGCGGTTCCCCGTCTACGCTCTTCTCTGATTCCTCCGCACCAGCACTGTTGGACCCCTCAGGTCCTGCGACTCCCTTCTCTGTGTGTCCAGTGCCACTTCCAGCATAGCCCTCTCTGCAGGTATGCTCCTTGTCCCATGCCACCCAGTTCTCAGCCGCTCTCATTCCCGCTGGTTCTGTCAGCACCTGTGTTGCTGGCTCCATCGACTCGTCTTCCCATGACTCTCCTTTAATCCCCTTTACTGTCTTCATGGCCTCTTGTTCTTTCTTACTCATCGCGACTCCCACTGTATCCTCCAGTCCTTCTCCTGCTGTCAGGCACTCCCATGCCCCCTCTTCCTTGCTCTCCCACTCTGCTTCTTCCTGCTTCTTGGCCGGGTCCCTCACCGGACCTTCCCATCCAGCTACCCATAGGTCACCTTGCCCCCGGTTACACGCCGCCTCTGCTGCTATGCTCCTCACATCCGCCTCGGGTCCTCTCATGGCTTCTTTTCCCACATCTTCCCCCATCAGCTCTGGATGTTCTTCCCGCAGCTTCCTCACTTGCTGCTCCGCCATCCCACTTTCCTGCGCTTGCTTCTCTGCCTTTAGTACACGTGCCCGTGCCCCCACCTTCTCGTCTTTTCCTTCTGCTTCTGCGGCTGCTGGTGCGCACGCCCATGCCCCCTTTTTCTTGGCTTTCCTTTCTGCTACTGCTGATGCCACTGCACGCGCCTGTGCCCCCACCTTCGCTTCTTTCCCTCCCTCTTCTGCTGCTGCTGCTACACACGCCTGTGCCCCCACCTTCTCTTTTTTCCCTTCCTCTTCTGCTGCTGCTGCTACACACGCCTGCGCCCCCACCTTCTCTTCTTTCCCTTCCTCTTCCACTGCTGCTGCTACACACGCCTGTGCCCCCACCTGCTCTTCTTTCCCTTCCTCATCTGCTGCTGCTGCTACACACGCCTGTGCCCCCACCTTCTGTTCTTTCCCTTCCTTTTCCGCTGCTGCTGCTACACACGCCTGTGTCCCCACCTTCTCTTCTTTCCCTTCCTCTTCCGCTGCTGCTGCTACACACGCCTGTGCCCCCACCTTTTCTTCTTTCCCTTCCACTTCCGCTGCTGCTGCTACACACGCCTGTGCCCCCACCTTTTCTTCTTTCCCTTCCTCTTCCGCTGCTGCTGCTACACACGCCTGTGCCCCCACCTTCTCTTCTTTCCCTTCCTCTTCCGCTGCTGCCACCACACATGCCCGTGCCTCCACCCCTTCATCCACCACTTCCGCTTCCGCTGCTGCTGGTACACATGATCTTGCCCCCACCTGCTCATCCTTTTCCTCTGCTTCCGCTGTTGCTGGTACACACGCTCCTGCTCCCACCTTCTCGTCCTTCTCCTCTACTTCCGCTGCTGCTGGCGTTACTAACATGCACGCCCATACCCCCACCTTACTCACTTGCTCCCTTCGCACGTCCCTGCCCCCACTGCGCAGCCGCATGTCCGCATGGCCACGCAGCGCCGCACAGGAGCGTTCCGGCTCCTTCTCCTCTTCCTCTTCCTCGTACAACCCCGTTCGCCCCTGAGTTCTCTCTCCCAGCGCCTGCAGTTGGGCTTGTAACTGTTTGACCTGTTCCTCAATCTCCTCGGGTGATCTTCCTGCGTCCCTTACTTTCTCATAGCAGTTCCTTGCCTAATGCCCCTTTTTCCCACATTTCTCACAGCTCGGTACATCTGGGCAGTCCCTTCGGCGGTGCCCAGGCTTTCTGCACACATCACAGGTCTTGCACTCCCTCCTGATATGCCCCTCCTGCCCGCACCTGTGGCACGTCTGTGTTTCTGCTTGCCTCTCCTGCCAGTGCTCCTCCCCACCCTCGTCCTCGGTTATCATCGCTGCAGCCCACCTGGGCCGCCCTTTCTCTGACACCTTCGGCAGGTACGCCTCGTACCGTCTCTGCGCAAGCTCCACTTTCTCCACCAGTTCAAACACCTCCTCCAGCGTTGCTTCAGCTCCTAACTCATAAACTCTCATTCTCAGTCCTCGACTCAGTCCTTCATCTAAACCCCCCAAAAACTTGCTAATCAACATACTGCTGTCCGTGCAGACCACATCATCTGCTAGATTAGTGAGCCTCCCAAAGTATGTGAGTAGTGATTCCGCCTCACCCCGCCTAAACTCCTGAAACTCTCGGATACGGTCGGCGGTGTGGCCCGGGAACTGTTTTCTCAGTCGCTCAAAGAACAGCATCGTGGGATCATCTCCATCCTCATCTGCTCGCCTCAGCCACTCCGGCATCTTCATTCGGTACAGCGTTTCAGCTTCGCCCCCCAACGTATTCGGTAGGCTTAAAAAAATCTCTATAGGGTCCATCCCGCTTCTATCGCAGCGGTACTTCACATTTGCGATCTGCATCAGGTAATTCTTCAGGTTGGTTCCTGATCCTGCTTCCCCCGTAAAGCGCACTGGCACTTCCACCTGAGGTGGGGCCTGCACACTCCACCTTCCCGACTCCCAAGTTCCTGAGATCTCTTTCCTTTTGCTACTCTCTCCCCTCCTCTCCCTCAGCTCCCTGCTTCTTGACTCTGTCCCATACAGCACTCGCTCAATTCCTTCCATGGCTGCCCTTGCTCCCCCAGCGCTTAACCATGACTGCTGCCGCCTTCTCTGCCATGTCATACTTGGGCTCCTCCCCCCCTCTCTCTCTCGAGCCTCCCCATATCTCTCCGATCCCCACCCTGGTCTCTCTCTCGTTTCAGGGGAATGGTCTTCCTAGCGCCCCTCCCTTCGGCCTGATCCCTGGCGTGGCTGCCTGTCACACTCTCCTCCATCAACGCTCTCTGTGTCATACATCCTCCTCTGTCGCGTATGCTGTCCCTCAGCTCTCCTTCTCTGCCTACTGTTGTCCTACCTATTCCTCTCCTCCACTTCAGGTTCCCTATACCCCTCTTGCCCTCCCTTGTACCCCTCTCTTCCTTCAGGGGGTAATTCCTTTTCACGCCGCTCCCGCTTACCGCATTGGCGCCGATCCAAACCGTACTCATATTCCTCCTCTTCATTCTCTGTCCCCCGTTCTTGCGACCTCTCCCCTCGTCTGCAATGCTCTTCATCGCTCCTTGTCTCCTCCCTTCTTTCCTTCCTCCTTCTCCTTTCACCACTTTTCTCTGGCCGTCCAGCCTGCCTCTCCATTCCTCTTCTGGCGATTTCTCCCATAACCTCTGCTGCTCCTTTCCTCCCTTCCCCAGTTTCTCTTTCTCCTGCCTGTTTCTGGCCTCTCCACCAAGTTCCTTCGCGCCCTCTGCCCCTGCTCGCAGGTGCTCTTCTCTTCCTTCCCGGCGCACTCTCGCATCTGCCCCCAAGATGCCCAATGGCGAGCGTTCACTACTCCCGACACGTGCCTCCCCCTTGTGCCTCCGCTGCCGTGCAGGCGAGCGCTGCGCACGCCTTTTTGCGCACGTGCCGTCCCCCCTTTCCTCTCCCCGCAGCTCTGGTGATCGCCATCCGCCCAGCGCCATGCGCCTCCTGCGCTCATGTCCGCGTCTTGGCTCAGGCGAGCCACGCGCTTCCACATGCGCGTCTCGCCTCCTCACTTCCTCACGTCTGGGTTCTGGCGCGCGCTCAGCCTCCTTGTCTTTGCCGCGCCTTACGTTACTTCCGCGCATCCTGCCTGGCGAGCGATCTGCATCCGTGCTCCCCCGGCACCTCGCACCATTCTCAAGCATTTCGCCCACCGACCCGTCTGTGTCCGCGCTCCCGCGGCGCCTCGTGCCATTCCCGCGCATTCCGCCCGTCGAATCGTCTGCATCCGCGCTACCACGGCGCCTCGCGCCATCCCTGAGCATTTCGCCCGTCGAATTGTCTGCATCCACGCTCCCGCGGCGCCTCGTGCCATTCCCGCACATTTCGCCCGTCGAATCGTCTGCATCCGCGCTCCCGCGGCGCCCTACGCTGCCGTCACCCATTTCGTCCGCCGCGCGACCTGCATCCGCGCTTCCGCGGCGCCTTGCGCTGCCTCCGCGCATCTCTCTCGGCGAGCCACTTGCTCCTGCGTCTTTGCTCCCTTCGTCGCGCTCTTCTTCCGCGACTTCGTCCTTCCCACCATCTCGCGCCATCAGGATCTCGTCTGCTTCTTCCTCACCGTCGGCCTCACTTGCCGAATCCGACGAGTCCAACACGTCCGCGTCGTCGCGACGCCTGCCACCCTCTCCTTGCTGGCCGCGCGCCAGATTCCAAGGGCCGCTGCTGGACGGTTGAGGCCTGGGCTCCGATCTTGCGTGCAGATCGTCCTCGCCTCCTTCTCGACGTCCATCAAACACCAGATCCGTGCGGTACGCCGCCCCCCGTGGCGAACGCGTCCGCGATCTCCCGCGCTCCAGTGAGCGCGTACTCCGCGACGGTGAAAATTCCCGACGCGGGTTCATCTACTGCCAGCGCAGCTCGTGGCAGTCCATTCTGCCCGATCTTGGTTCTCTCGTTTGTGAGAGATACCGGCTCCCACAGATGGCTACTCACAGTGGCCTCGTCACCTAGGCAGGAATTAGCCGTAGAACAGTAACATGAATCCACTATAGAGAGCAAACAAACGAGAGAACGAACTAAGCAGTGAGTTCCTAGTCTATTTGAATCTCTACCCCGTGCCGCGCAGTTTCCCGTAACTCACATTGGGCTCCGCTCGCTAGGCTTTAGGATTGGCCCTTCAGATTGCCCAGGGCTCGCCCTTGAATTTGTCCCACCCTGCGCCTCGCAAGTCCCTGAATCACCACTTTGCGTCACTCCCCACGCACCAAACTCACCTTCTACAATACTTCGCATAACCCAACTACACCTACACGAGCAAGTAACTGAATCTATTGCAAACAACAATACATTCGGTGACATATCCTTGTTCATTCCACAATGGAATAACCTCTGAAATAGGAGAGTTTGCATTCTAGGAATATAACAGGGACTCGAAGTGGTGGGGCTTTGGGAAAGAGTTCAATCTACGTATTACGAATAGTAATTATTGAAGCATCACTTGTCAGAATCCCAGCCACGGACCTCTGGGATAGAATGACTTGTTTGTGTAGCGGGTGAGTGCGCCCATAACCCCCCAGGCCAACGTGCCTGTAACCCTTCCCTAGGATCAATCGGGAATCACTAGTGGACCTCAGACATCACTGCGCACTCCTTACCGCAGCAACCGAAGCACGCACTGCCGAGGATGAAGACGAAAAGGCAGAAATGACGCGAAAGGTCGTACGGTTACGGAAGAATCTGGACCGTCGGGCAGACAGCATCAAGCAGCAGCGGCGAGGATTCTGACCGGAACAGTTTCGTAACCACCTGAAGTCGCACAGTTGGATTTCATTGTAATAAGGAAATGTACCCCTTAGAGTACATGGATAGCTATGACGTTTGGTATTCCCCTGCACTCTTATTTATATTCCTTGTATTTGCATTTACATTGACTTTGCTATTCAGATCAAAGGCCCACCACCACCACTACTCAGTCTTGTGCGAACCTTCCCGAGGTGATCCTAGGCACGATCAATTCCTGATCGCAACATGGTATCCGAGTGACTCGGGAATCCTTCGCACTGCCACCTCCGAAAACTTCGGCGAACAAAAAGTGGCGTCCGGCACATGCTCGCGCGTGAGAATGGCCGGAGGATCTGGTGGTCAGACGAATCTGACGGCTGAAGCACAGACCAACCCGGCTGCGACAAGCGAGGAAACGACGACGATTGGAACCGCCGTCCTCTCACAATTGCTTCAGCGACTCACCAGCCTGGAGCAAGGACTCCAAACATTGCGAAATGGCGATGCGGGAACTTCTTCCCAACCCTCTCAACCGGCCTCGAACGGCCACAACACCGCCACGCACACCTTCTCCCTCGACACAAATGGCTCAACCCCCAAAACTTCCCGTCCCAGTGAAGAAACAATTCTCTCTGCGCAATCAAGGTTTTTGAGCATATAAAAAATAAAGGCAAGTGTGTGCTTTGAGGGCAGAGACTTCTATATACTTGGAGCTTCGAGCTGGAGCTGCTACTGCAAAACGCGCAGATTTTTCATTATTTCGACGGTAGCAACTCGGGACCCGCTGAGGAGACCGACGACGCCAGAACGAGGTACTACAACGAGTCCCTGATGGCGTACGGGGTCCTACTGCGGAACATGTCGTCGGTAGAGCAACTGAGCATTCGCTCGTACAAAACTTCATCTGCTCCTGACCTCGACGCTTGGCGCCACCTGAACGGCGTGTACCAATCGAAGGATTCGGTCTCGTCGAGCCGCCTGCTCCAGCAGCTACTGGAGACAAGAATGGCCCCAGGGGAGAAGGCCAACAGCTACCTGAATCACTGTCGGAGTTACGCGATAAGATTGCGAAACTTGGGAGCACGATCTCAGAGGAGATCTTCGTAAACATCGTACTCCAAGGACTCGGCCCAGAGTGGAGGCCCTACAAGGCGCTCCTCCGACAGCAGGGGGTCATCTTGGAGGCCGCCCTATGCGCTGCCCTTCTCGTCGAACAACGGGATATGGACTAGCAGCGACCAACGCCACGACGAGAGAGAGAACGCCTCGCCTTCTACGCCGACAACACCGAAGAGCGACGGCCGCGGTGCCTTTACGGCAAAATTTGCTGAAATTTCGGGCACATGGCAGATCGATGTAAGTCCCGATCTCGCCTTCGCCAGACCAATCCGAGTACCTAGTCCGGCCGACAAGACGCACGGAACGACTCGCGTCCAGCCCAGGGGTATCAACCCCCTTCGCGCAACCTGAACCCAACGGTTCAGCATCAGCAGCAGCAGCCACAGCCTGCTCAAGTCCACAATGTCATGGGAAATATGACAATGACAAGCGGATCGCGTCGTCCTCGCGCTCGCTCACCGTCACCTGAGCCGGCACCTCACCCAATCGGAGCGTTCTCTAACAACAACCCGTTCAGCACGCGTCACGACTTCAGCGACGACGACGTCCAAGATTAGAATCTCCCAATCCCGCTGCTTGAGAATCCCTCGCACATACCTGAGACGCGGGTGGCACCGATCGATTGTATCGCGCGCGAGCAATTTCTGATGTTTGACACACCGCATATCATTACTCCGCGACTGGCGTTGCTCACACGTAACGACAACATGCGCTACAATACGTGGTACCTGGATAGCTGCTGTGGGCAGCACATGGTGGGCTCCGAGCGTTACATATCCAACGCCGTCGCCACCCTTGCCGTCACCTGCGTCACCGTGGCGAACAACACGCGCTTGCACGCAAGCACGCAGGGCATCGTTGTGCTCAAGGCCCGAGGGAGCAGGACACACATCACGCTGAACGACGTGCTGTTCGTGCAGAATCTACGCTTCAACCTAATCTCGGCGGTACAACTCATGGACTGCGGGGTCGACCTCAGCACCGACCCTGAAACATGTGACATTTTACTCCATTTCATGATGCCGAACAAGACGCGCAAGCAGATCGGTCGAGCGCACTCCGAAAACGGAGTTTATGTTCTCGACTTCGACATTCCCGACTACAGCGGCGTCTCGCAGAAGCTCATCGATCTCATCCCCCTGCGCTTCGAGCATATTCACCACCGCGACTGGAAGCACCCAGATGGAAGACCGTGGGTGCCACATCACCCACACCCGCGCGAGCTAGCGTTGCACGACCCCGACCCCGACGGCATCTGCAGGGATTGCCACACGCCCACGGCATTAACGAGCGCGATTGCCGGCCGTGGCCTCGCCGCCATCGCTGAAGCAGAACGGGAAGCACCGCCTGAAGAGGGGCTATCTAACATGGAGCTCGAGACAGCTACGAGAAGAACCTCGCGGGGCGCGTCGACATCACCTGCAACCATGACGAGAAGCAGTTTCTCGGCCTCAACATCATGTACTCCCCATAAGCTATCCACATCTTAGCAGCCAAGTATGCAGAGGAACTTGGCAAGCGCTTCAACATCGCATCTGCACCGCTCTCCACCCCTTACCGCACCCAACCACAAGCCTGACAACAATGCCCTGTCCCTTGCTGGGCTTCAGACTTACCAGCAGCAATTTGGAGGCCTGCTCTTCGCCTCAGTTACCTGTAGGCCGGACCTCTCGTACATCGCGAGTCAGCTGGCCCAGTACTCCCGCAAACCAACGGCTGAAAACCTCTCAGATCTTCAGCGAGAGCTTCAATTCTTCATCTCCACGCCCAATGTTGGGCTCTGCTACTCCACCATCCCAACCGCATCCTTCAACCTCATCGGATACGTGGACGCTGATCACGCTAGCGATCCCGACAATCGACGGTCCAGGACAGGTTTTATCTTTCGCCTTGAGCCTAGCGGCCCCATCTCCTGGAATTCGCAGTTGCAGGAGCTGGTTGCCCTATCATCGTCAGAAGCAGAGTTCATCGCAGCAACGGTAGCCGTTCGCGAAGGTCTTTACCTTCAAGAGCTATTGCAGGAGGCGAAAATTCCAGTTTCGCCGAGCTTCCGTCTGCACTGCAATAACCAGAGCGCGATCAGGATCGCGAACAAACCTGGATTCGTCAATCGCACCAAGCACATCGCACTGCGGTACTTCTTCGTCAAGGACGAAATTGACAAGGGCAAGGTGGACCTGGCCTAGTGCCCGACGGGTGACATGGCAACCGATTTTCTCACGAAGAAACTGTCTCGTCAGCAGTATTAGCACTGCTCCGAACTCAGCGGAGTTGTCAAGCGGGTCAAAACATGCTACGGCCAGGAGTGAAGGGGGGTGTTACGAATAGTAATTATTGAAGCATCACTGTGCACTCCTTACCGCAACAACCGAAGCATGCACAGCCGAGGATGAAGACAAAAAGGCAGAAATGACGCGAAAGGTCGTACGGTTACGGAAGAATCTGGACCGTCGGGTAGACGGCATCAAGCAGCAGCGGCGAGGATTCTGCCCGAACAGTTTTGTAACCACCTGGAGTCGCACGGTTGGATTTCGCTGAGTCGCACGGTTGGATTACGCTGTAATAAGGGAATGTACCCCTTAGAGTACATGGCTAGCTAGGACGTTTGGTATTCCCCTGTACTCTTATTTATATTCCTTGTATTTGCATGTTTTAATCATATGAAGCATTTACATTCACTCTGCTATTGAGGTCAAGAGCCCACCACCACCACTACTCAGTCTTGTGCGAACCTTCCCAAGGGGATCCTAGGCACGATCAATTCCTGATCGCAATAGTACGCCTAGTCTTTTTGAGACACAAAGATGCTATTTCAGGATAACCGTTTTTGCAAAAATATAAGTTACACCCCATCACCACCGATGTGTGATCTAGCTCAATAAGACCAATCACAATCTCCATCGCCAATATGGACGCTTGAAAGTACCGCACTGCGCAATAGCGGGTCGTCAGCCTGAACCCTGAAAAGCCCACTCCCCAGACATTGCCGTTCCTTTTCTCGACGGACGTATTTACGTCCTGCTGGCCTAAACTACGCCACCTGCCTATTGACCTTATAGGTCATTAGAATCACATTCTTACCACGCGCTTCCCTCCCCCTTAGTGTGGAACGCATATCTTGCTCTTCGTAGCAAGCGAGAGTCGTTCGTTCGTAGCATCACTGGTAAAATGCCTCCCAAGTCGAAGAAGGAGGCTCCAGTTGAGAGGCCGATCCTCGGTAGATTCTCCTCGCATCTTAAGATCGGTATTGTGCGTCTCCCGCCGTGACTTCTCACTTGCTTTCGTGATTCTTCTTATAGCACTTTCTTAAGTTGGTCATTGTTCGTGTTCCTCCTCATCCACCTCGTTTCTCGGTCTCCTTATCGCCGTGACGACCGTCGTACGAGTCTCCGATCCTGCCTCACGATTTCGCCATGTCTTACCGTATCGTGGAGACTCTCCTGCTTTGGATAATTTATCCAGACCCTGTTGAATCCCCGATTCGGATTCACGATTTCTGTATCCCGACCCTGCTGAATCTGACAACTCCCTGATAATGCATTTTCTTCCGACAGAGTTCGGCAGCACCCTAACTCTGGTTAGAATCCGGTAGCAAAGTTCCCTTTCACCTGAATCCCTTTTACTCCTTGACTCGTAGAGTGGTCAAACTGGATCTCTATTTGACGGACACAGATGCTAACCTCTACGTATACCTTCTTGATTCTCTACGTATCCGTTCCGGTTCCTCCTACGTCAGGTCGGTCTACCCAATGTCGGCAAGTCAACGCTCTTCAACACGCTCACGAAGCTCTCCATCCCCGCTGAGAACTTCCCCTTTTGCACCATCAACCCCAACGAGGCTCGCGTTAACGTGCCTGACGACCGCTTCGACTGGCTCTGCCAGCTGTTCAAGCCCAAGAGCGAGGTGAGTGTTAGTTGCAACGAGTCTCGGCCTTAGTCCATTGAGTCACCTTACGACTAGCTGCCAGCTGTTCAAGTTTTAAAGCGAGGTGAGCCGAGCTGGTACAGGGATGTCATGCCGCATTCGAAGCGAGGAGCTTCCCCTTTTGCACCATCAGCCTCAACGAGGCTCGCGTCAATGTGCCTGACGACCGCTTTGACTGGCTCTGCCAAATTTCCAAGCCCAAGAGCGAAGTGAGCGAAACACCATCTGATGTGATAGCAGCGAGAGGGTTACTATTGAGTGTGACAGTAGCGAGTTTTGAAGGTGCATGGCCTTGCATGGCTGATGGTGTGCCGCTTGCATGGCTTAGCATTTCCACTTGTCCTTTTTGAGGCGCTGAAGAAATGGTGGTGTACGTTTCGCTTAGCAGGTTTCACTTGTCCCTTCACTTCACCTCTCTTCCCTTCTCCCTTTCTGCTATTTCTTTCCCTCTTATTTTCTGTCTCCCAGGTCTCCGCCTTCTTTTAGGTGAACAACATTGCAGGCCTGGTGATGCGGGATTTTCTCAGCTCTCCCACTTGCCTTGCCCTTTCTCCTGACCACTCTGTACCTCTCCCTTGCTTTGCTCTCTCTCTCCCAGGTCTCCGCCTTTCTGGAGGTGAACGACATTGCAGGGCTGGTGCGCGGAGCCAACGAAGGGGAGGGATTGGGCAACGCGTTTCTCTCGCACATCCGGGCCGTTGATGGCATCTTCCACGTCTGCCGTGAGTTCTGCATCTCCCAATCTCTCCCAACCTCTTCCAGCCTCTTCCAGCCTCTCCCAGCCTCTCCCAGCCTCTCCCCAGCCTCTCCCAGCCTCTCCCAACCTCTTCCAGCCTCTTCCAGCCTCTCCCAGCCTCTCCCAGCCTCTCCCCAGCCTCTCCCAGCCTCTCCCAACCTCTTCCAGCCTCTTCCAGCCTCTCCCAGCCTCTCCCAGCCTCTCCCCAGCCTCTCCCAGCCTCTCCCAACCTCTTCCAGCCTCTTCCAGCCTCTCCCAGCCTCTCCCAGCCTCTCCCCAGCCTCTCCCAGCCTCTCCCAACCTCTCAAAACCTCTCTGAACCTCTCCCAGTCACTCCGTGCTCCTTGCACATCCCAGCCATTGATGAAATCTATCATGTTTGCTGAATGTCATGAGGGTCCCTGTCTTTCTCGTCCTTTCCTAGCCTTTCCCATCCTTTCCACTATTTTCCAGTCCTTCAACCTTCGCTGTTGTCAGTGGTAACATTTCGTCTTTTCTCTAGCACAGCTGATGCGTACGTCCCATCGCCCCTGCACTGATATCCTCTCACTCGACCATCCATTTTCTCTTCATCCTCTTCTGTCCGGGTCCCTTTAGGTGCGTTTGACGATGCGGACGTGATTCACGTGGAGGACACTGTCGACCCGATCAGGGACCTGGAGATCATTCACAACGAGCTGCGGCTGAAGGACATTGAGTTCATGGAGCGAGCCAAGGAGGACTATGAGAAGCAGCTCAAGCGCAGCAACGACAAGCAGCTGAAGATCGACCACGAGCTCTGCCTCCGGGTGGGTGAAAGCGCCACGAGTATTATAGCGTGTGTCTTTGGGTGAGGCGGATGGAGGAGGTAAGGGAGGGGAAGCAACGACATGCAGTTCGAAAACGACCATGAGGTGTGCCTTAGGGTGGGTGGAATGAGAGGGATGGAAAGAGGGTGTGTGGGTAGAGTAGAAAGGGACCGCAAGGACAAGCAGTTTAAAGTCAAGAACAATTTCTGCCTCCGAGCAGCTATTGGAGCATCTGAACGAGGGCAAGGACATGCGGCTGAGTGGGTGGAAGGCAGCTGGCACCGAGGTGCTCAACACCCCTCTCCTCCCGCCTTCCTCATGCCCCTCTTTCTCTCCTTACCGCTTCTCCCCCTTGCCAATCCTAGGTGCTGGCGCATTTGAATGAGGGCAAGGATGTGAGGCTGGGCGAGTGGAAGGCAGCTGACATTGAAGTGCTCAACACCTTCCAGCTGCTGTCTGCCAAGCCAGTTGTCTACCTGGTACGGATGTGAGGAGATGTTTGTGAATGACTGAATGACTGTAATAGTCAGCAACCAAGGCAGCTGACATTGAGGTGCTCAACACCTTCCAGCTGCTGTCTGCCAAGCCAGTTGTCTACCTGGTACGAACATTTGACTATGAACAAATGGATGTCACATTCTCATGCCCATCCAGTCTCCTCCAGTCATGTCTATTCTAGGTCTCCGCATCTGCGATACGGTACTTGCACAAGTTGTTGTTGACGTTCTCTCCCGTGTCATGTCACTCTTAACGGGACACAAATGGCAGGTGAATCTGACGGAGAAGGACTATCAGCGCAAGAAGAACAAGTGGCTTGCCAAGATCCATGGCTGGTGAGTGCCCAGTGTTTTGCTTGTTCTTCTGATTATTCAGTTGTTTTTGTTGTTTTCTTTCTCTCGTTTTTCCTACTGGAAATCCAAGTTATGCCTGCATGCACAAGAGACGTGCTTTGGAAAAATCATTCTGCCTGCCCCCTCATTCCATTCAGCGGTGTGTTGGAGTAGAAGCTGGCAATGCCTTCATCATGCCTTACCTGTCATTTACGAGTCTGTTGGTATCGCTCCTGAGCATGGGCAGGAGTCCCGACACCATCACCTGCTTGTGCTGCGCCATGCTGTTCACTCACATCACAACCCAACTACCTTCTCTTCTCTTCTCTTCTCCTCCTGCAGGGTGCAGGAGCACGGGCAGGACCCCATCATCCCGTTCAGTGGAGTGTTGGAGTCGAAGCTGGCTGACATGCCGGCCGACGAGGCTGCCACCTACTGCAAGGAGAATGATATCCAGAGGTGAGCGGTGATGAGGGGTGGAGAGAGGTTCATAGGTGAGCATCCAAGAAGGTGTGTTGGAGTCGAAGCTGGCTGACGAGGCTGCCACCTACTGCAAGGAGAACGACATCCAGAGGTGAGGGGTGGTGAGGGGTGGAGAGGGGTTCATAGGTGAGCATGCAAGAAGGAGTGTTGGAGTCGAAGCTGGCTGACATGCCGGCCTACAAGGCTGCCACCTACTGCAAGGAGAATGATATCCAGAGGTGAGCGGTGGTGAGGGCTGGGAGGGGTGGAGAGAGGTTCATAGGTGAGCATGCAAGAAGGTGTGTTGGAGTCGAAGCTGGCTGACATGCCTGCCGACGAGGCTGCCAAATACTGACATCCAGAGGTGAGAGCGGTGAGGAGGGGTGGGATGCGGTGAGACCCGTGGAAGATGATGAGTAATGCAAAGACAACGACATCCAGAGGTGAGAGCGGTGAGGAGGGGTGGAAGGCAGCGAGGAGAGGTGTGCAGGGATGAGAGTTAGAGGGGAGTGTTGCTGCTGTGAGAGGAGTCGAGAGCCATTTCGTGTTGGGCCGAGTGGCCAGGACTCCATCAGGCCAGGCTTTTCTGCCATCAATCTGGTCTACTTCTTCGTGATTGAAGAAGTCTCAAGCCAGGCTTTTCTGATTTGAGACGTCTCAAAACACTTCTTCAATCACGTGGACTCCATCAAGCCAGGCTTTCTGCCATCAATCTGGTCTACTTCTTCTCTGCTGGGCCTCATAACGTCAACTCACTCCCTGTGCCCCACCCCCCTTTCCTCTTTCACTCACTTTCTTCGTCCCCTTCCCCCCTTCCCCCCTTCCCCCCTCTTCTCCCCGCCTTCCCCGCCTTCGCCGCCCCTTCTCCGCCTCTTTGCCCCCTCCCCAGTGGTCTTCCAAAGATCATCAAGACGGGATTCGCAGCCATCAACCTCATCTACTTCTTCACGGCTGGGCCTGACGAGGTCAGTATAGTTCCTTGCACCAGGTCAGCTCATCTCCTTACACCAGGGCAGCTCACCCCCTTGCACCAGGGCAGCTCACCCCCTTGCACCAGGGCAGCTCACCCCCTTGCACCAGGGCAGCTCACCCCCTTGCACCAGGGCAGCTCACCCCCTTGCACCAGGGCAGCTCACCCCCTTGCACCAGGGCAGCTCACCCCCTTGCACCAGGGCAGCTCACCCCCTTGCACCAGGGCAGCTCACCCCCTTGCACCAGGGCAGCTCACCCCCTTGCACCAGGGCAGCTCACCCCCTTGCACCAGGGCAGCTCACCCCCTTGCACCAAGGCAGCTCACCCCCTTGCACCAGGGCAGCTCAACCCCTTGCACCAGGGCAGCTCACCCCCTTGCACCAGGGCAGCTCACCCCCTTGCACCAGGGCAGCTCACCCCCTTGCACCAGGGCAGCTCACCCCCTTGCACCAGGGCAGCTCACCCCCTTCCACCAGGGCAGCTCACCCCCTTGCACCAGGGCAGCTCACCCCCTTGCACCAGGGCAGCTCACCCCCTTGCACCAGGGCAGCTCACCCCCTTGCACCAGGGCAGCTCACCCCCTTGCACCAGGGCAGCTCACCCCCTTGCACCAGGGCAGCTCACCCCCTTCCACCAGGGCAGCTCACCCCCTTGCACCTGGCCTGGAGCAGCAGTGTGGGCAGATTTACAATTTCAGCATTTTTCAGGCGCCTCTTTGCGAGTCGACCAATTTTTACATGCCTCGAAGTCCTGGTTTAGGGTTATAGAGAGCGCAAGCTGTCCAAGGCGTTACAAGCAGCAGGAGAGATCGCAGTAGCCACTGATCCCCCCTTTCCATTTTGCTCCCCTTTTCCCTTCTGCTCCCCGGTGTTTTCCTCTCTCCTCTCTGCTCCCCTCTGCATGCTTGCGCGTGTACCAGGTGAGGTGCTGGCAGATCCGCAAGCAGACCAAGGCACCGCAAGCAGCAGGGGCCATTCACACTGATTTCGAGAAGGGCTTTATTTGTGCTGAGGTCAGCTGCCTGTTACATTTCAAATCTTTAGCTTTCCTTCGGGTTTTTTTTTTTTTTTTTTTTTTTTTTTTTTTTTTTTTTTTTAATTGTTTGTTTGTTTGTTTGTTGTCTTTTTGTTCTTCTGCTTCAAACTTCTTGATTTTCATTTTGTCTTCGATTAGGGCCCCTTTGCAATTTTGTGTTTGTTTGTTCACTGCGTTATTGTTTTTTACTCATGTACGCCATTTATACTGCGCGTCCTGATTTTTTTTTTTAATCAGGTGATGAAGTTTGAAGATTTAAAAGAGCTTGGATCGGAAGCTGCTGTCAAGGTAAGTCGATTGCTTTCACTGTGTCATGCATGACCCCTTCATACAAGCTGCCCTATCTGTACAGAAATTGAATTCGTGTCTTGTGAATTATGCTGTTTGCGTTGCATATCATGACAGGCTGCTGGCAAGTACAAGCAAGAAGGGAAGACATACGTGGTTCAAGATGGAGATATTATCTTCTTTAAGTTCAATGTCTCTGGGGGTGGCAAGAAGTAGGCCTCCCATTCTGAAAGATGCTGCTTGTGAGGCAAAGCTATAATAGCAAAACGTAGATTCTGGTAATTTTGTAGTGATTATCTGTAGCAATTCGCTAAAATTACAACGGATGCGTTTGAGTGCTATTGTTTCCACTTTGCGCCAACCTGGCCAATCACGTCTGCAAGCGTGGCAGATTAGTTTGCGCCACTATCTGGAATCAGGGGATGATGTGCAACGTGGACAAATCCACTCCCGCCACTGCCTGCCCTGTCCCCTTCCCCCTATTTTCTTCCCCCCTCCCGTTTCCTCCTTTCTCTTCCCGCTTCCCCTTCCTCCCTCACCCTTGGGATTCCCGTTCTTGCTCCCTCCTTTCCCCTTCTTTTCCCCTGCTCCCCCCTTCCGCTCCCCCCTTCCGCCCATCATCCTCTCCAGCACTCCACTGCTGCTCTCTTCCTCCCGCTGTTTCTTATTCTTCCCAGTCGTGGTACTTAGAATTTGGAAGCAGATTTGTTGGTGATTCAAAAGCCGCAGTGGAGTAGCAGCACGTGAAGGGAGGTGTCAGGGCAGGGAAGAGCTTTCCTGTGCTTCTTTTCCTAGAGGAGGCTTGATTTCGCTTGGCGAAAATGGCTGCTGCCGCTTCGTTGCTGACGAATCAGATCGCTTCACTGAGCATCAGGTTAGCTCAGGGTGCTGGTCAATCTTTATAGCGATGTGATCAGCGTTTCCTTGGCTTCTCTGGGAGGCCTCGTTCGGGGCTGTGTTGATGCGACTCGGTTGGTCGCGTGCATTGGTTAATGGGAATTCTCAGCAATGTATTCTCACATGCATTTGTCAGTTGCTAGTTCGCCAGTTCGGTTCGTTGCTTAGCCCAGTGCCAAATAATGAGGGGCGTTCAGTCGAAAAACGAAGCCTTATCATGAATGCGGAAATTAGGGTTCGCGTCTCCATTGCGCGGTTTAGGCTTTTTGCCGCTCCTGGCATGCTCGCGTTCAAACCATGTTCCGTCGCGCGTCGCACTCTTCACATGGCTCATTTCGCGCAGCTCTTCCGAGTCAGTTGAGTGTTTCCTAAGCCGTTTAGTCCCCGTTTGTAGGAAAGGAATGTAGGAAAAGCCGCACGTGCGACCAACGCCGTACAGACAGTCCACCTATCCGCATGCCAGAACGCATCTCCTCCACTCCACTTCGTGTTGTAGGCGTATTTCGAGAGTCATCGCTGTTGAGGCGCTTCAGAAGTCGTCTCCTCCGCTTTCGAGTCCATGACCGCGCTCATACACTCTCCCCTGCCCACTTCTCCCCCTCCCCCCACCCCCCTCCACCGCCGCACCATGCGTCCCTCATTGTATCCCATCCCCCCGTATCCCTCCTCCATTCCGTCTCGCAACCCCACCCCCACTTCCACCCGCGTCTCAATCCATCAGTATGTCTCATCTCGCACTTTGACCCGTTCCGAGACTTTCCATGAGTCATCATATCCGCCCTCCCCTTCTCGTGTTAAAAGAGTTGTTTTGAGACGTCTCAATCCATCAGCATGTCTCAACTCCCACTCTGACCTGTTCCGAAACATTCCATGATTCATCATATCCGTCCTCCCCCCCTCCATCCCGCCTCCTCCTCCATTCCATCTCCTCTCCAACCCCCCTGCTTCCCGCTTCCTTCCGCCTTCGATCCCCGCCAAACACACCCGTCGCAGGCCATCAGCACGCCTCAAGTCCGAGTTTGACCACCAGTGAGGCGCCACATAATTCATCTCATCCCATTTCCCCTCCATCCCCCCTCCGTAACCCCTCCATCCTCCCTCCCTCCCCCCTCCATCCCCCTTGTGCCACACCCGTCGCAGGTCATCAGCATGCCTCAAGTCCGACTTTGACCAGCGGTGAGAGTCTCATGATCAATTCTACCCTATCCCACTCCATCCCCCCCCCCCCCCCCCCTCACCCCCCCCTCCTCCCCCAATACCCCCTCCATACTCGCTACCACACCCGTCGCAGGTCATCAGCATGCCTCAAGTCCGACTTTGACGGCCGTGCTCTCACACTCTCCTCGCCTCTCGTCGCCGCGGCGCCCTCCATCCGCCGCCGCGCCGCGGTCGCGTCAGCCGCTCCCCCCGCCGCCGCTGCCGCCGCGGTCTCAGCCGCAGCCCCCGCCGTCGCCGCGTCGTTAGCGCTCGATGATGACGTGGACGCGTCCAGCCGGCGGTACCCGCCGTTCGCGGCATTCAGGATCCACGGCACGGGCAGGAGAAAGACGGCCGTGGCGCGCGTGGGGCTCATCGAGGGCAACGGGGAAATTTTCGTGAACGGTCTGCCCCTGAACGAATATTTCCAGAACCAGGCGCTCATGATCCAGGTAGGAACAGCGGGCGGTTTTGAATTAATTCGGGAATGTGGGAAGGAAAATGGGCCGGGTACAGCGGGAAGGAATGCCTTGAAAAGGGGGATTGACGGTCTGGGGGGTAATGATGGTCGAGGGGGGAATGATGGTCAAGGGGGGAATGACGGTCTAGTGGGGAGAGGTGATCAATGGGGGGATGACGGTTAAAGGGGAACGGCGGTCAAGGGGGGAATGGCGGCCAAGGGGGGAATGATGGTCGAGGGGGGGATGGCGGCCACATGGGTCAATGGCGGTCAAGGGGGGGATGACAGTCTTGTGGGGATTTGCGGTCTTGGGTTAAATGATGGTCTGGGGAGAAAAGGCTGTCTAGTGGAAAATGGGAATGGAGCAGCTCTTGAACCACCGAGAGGGAGGGTGTGAAGGGTGAGAGGAGCTAGGAGCAGGTAGAGGGCCACCCGCACCAGGCAGTGAATCTGTGTCTGTCCTCGCTGGGCTGCAAGGGTAAGTGCGATGTGTTGGTGGTGAAGGCGCACGGAGGGGGATGGCCGTGTGTCATCTCATTGGTGGAAGGGAGCCCTACCTGTCTCCAACCACCCCTATCAAGCGGTGAAGCCGCCTCTCTGATTGTTGTACTATGAGGGTAAGTGCGACGTGGTAGTGAAGGCACATGGAGGGTGGGAATGCAATCTCTTGCTGTCATCTGTACCTTCCCCATCACCTCTCCGCCATCTCTCCCCTACCCTTTCCAAATCATCCCTATCAGGCTGTCAATTTGACGCTCTCATCGCTGGGCAACGAGGTCAAGTTAGATGTGGTGGTGAAGGCTCATATAGGGATGCCTATGCCGTCCCCTCTTTTCATTTTCTCTCTGTTCCACCATCTCTCTCCCAACTTTCCCCACCAGGCTGTCAAGCTGCCGCTGTCCTCTCTGGGCTATGAGGGCAAGTACGATGTGGTGGTGAAGGCGCACGGAGGGGGCCTCAACGCACAGGCGCAGGCCATGGTTCTTGGTATCGCCCGTGCCCTCGTTGCTGCCAGCGCTGCCAACCGCCCGCCCCTCAAGGCCCAGGGCATGCTCACGCGTGATGCCCGCTCGGTAGAGCGCAAAAAGTACGGACTCAAGAAGGCCCGCAAGGCTCCCCAGTTCTCCAAGCGTTAAATGTGGAGTGGGGTTTGGGTGGAGTGGATATACAGTGGAGATACAGCGGGGATGTTGGGTGCATGCAGTTTAGTAGGCGAGGATGAATAGTGGGTTTCATGATTCTTTGTATGGTTGTGTCAGAATGTGCTTATGAATGGTCGTCACTTCGCTACTAAGAAAACTGTTGGTCCAAGAATAGAATCAGGACTAATAGCATTAAGGTGAGTTTAAACTGAAACCCTAACTTCAGTATGGAAGCCATGCTTTGCTTATAACAGATAACGTTTTTCGCATGTATTAGACGTCAATATCTCTCAGCTTGATGGGGGAGAGCAATGTCCAAAAAGCTTCACTCGACGTGGAACTTTCATTGTGCGCCACGCTCCCCCACCCAGGACCTTACTGGTCCCCACCTCATCCAGTCCAGTCAGCTCCAACTCCACGTCAGACATCCTGGCTCAGAAAATTCCGCGCCTGGATCCCCAGAACGGCGGGCACCGCCAGTTATCTCTCCGCGCCCATCAAGCCTCCGCCGATGTCCCGACCCGCGCGCCCTGCTCGATCGATTCGCGCTTCCCATCTCCGCGCGCCTTGCCTTGCATTGATTGGCAGTGTCCCTTCAGCTGTTTCAGGCTCGCTCTCCAAAATAGACAAATCCAGCTGAACCGAACGCAAACAAAACAAAGCCGACTACATCCAACTATACCGAACTTATTAGGATCACACGAGCGGGATGTCACACGAGCTCGATACTCCCTCGGAACCTTAATTAACCGCGTAAATATATCACAAACTCGCTCTAGAACGCACAGCACCTAGTAAAATACTCACCCACCCAACCCTTCCTCCTGTACTTGCTCCTATGCTTGTTCGCCTGCGTTCATTCCTCCCTCTCTTCATATCTGCTAGACCTTTCCTGCTGTCACTAACTTGGTAGTGAAATCCAGTGCGTGGAGGTTACCTGAAACAGTGGCCTGGGGTGCCTGTTTCTGCTGACTGCAACTCATTATCTCTTGACTCAGGCAGCTAACAATGGCGGCATTCTCGATGGCGTCGCTCCAATGCGCGCTCCCGCGCGTCTCTCTCTCGCAGTCCGCGGTCGCTTCGCCCGCGCGCAAGCCCGTCGTGTCCGCCGCTGCCGCCATGGGCGCGTCGTCGTCGCGCCTCTCCGCGTCGTTCAACGGCCTTCGCCGCGATAGCCTCATCAGCCAGTCTTCCGGTAGGGTTATAAGCGGTCAAGAGTGGTGTTAGGGATAGGTTTCGAAGCAGTCAAGAGTGGCTGCTTCTGTTCACCTCAAGTTTAGGGTTACGGAGACACCCCGATGCTGCGATAACGGTTTCATCAGAAATGAACGAAGAATATGTTTGCGGCGTCTCAGAAATCGGTAGTTTAGGGTTATGGAGACACACGAGAACTGCTAACTTCACCATTTCCGGTGGGAGACGCAGGAACATAAGTACGGACTGCCGCTGCCGTTTGCTAATCTCTCTCAATGCGTGTCCGCATGGCCGGTAGCTCGCCAGCCGGCCGTCATTTACGTTCCGGGCTGAAAGAATACAGAGTGTTTTTTTACGCGACCTAAGTATATGGACGCTGCTGTCTCTCCAACAGGACTGAAATAACGGCCAGGCAGCTCTCGAGACAGCGTCGATTGGCCAGCCTGAAGGTAGGAAGTTGAGACGGTTTTGAGGTGCCTAGACGATCAATCGGCCAGCCTGAGGATAGGAACGCACGAGCCGAGACGCCTCAGAATTCGGATGGGCGTAAGGGATCAGATAGGGTTACACAGGCACGGGGAAACTGCTTTGGCAGCATGCGGACATGTGTCGAAAGGGTTAGGGTCACAGGAAAACTCATATTGCAATATAGGGAAGAAAATGTTAGGAACGGCAGGGGCCTAGCCTCAGCTGCAAAATTCGTAGCAGCACACCTCACGAGCTACCTCTCAGGTCGGCCTTACAGCCTCTCTCCTTCACCCTCCCCTTCCCCCATCCCTTCTGCCTCCCCTCCCCTCCGCCCGCCCTGTTCCCTTCCTCCCGCTTTTCACCTTCAATCCACCTAGCTTCTCTGTCTGTCTTCCTTATCCTTCCCTGACCCCCCTCCGCTTTCTATCCTCTCCCTTTTCTCGCTTCCCTTCCTCCTCTTCCCCTTTTTCCCTGTCTATCGGCACGAGTTTCAAACGCTCGTTACGATGTAGTGAGGTGCTTTGCGTTGTGACGCTCCAGCGGTTGAGCAGGGTGTGGAGGAAAAAGCGAAAGCTTGGGACACTGCCTTTTGGAAAGGCTGAAGTCATTTATCTGAATCTAACCCTTACCATGACTCTATCCCCTCCCCCACCATCTTCTCCTCCTTGTCACCCTTCCTTGCCCTTCAGAAGCCTCCCTCTGAGGCACCTTTACCTTCCTTACCCTAACCATCTGAATTCCCCCCCAATTCTCCCTTTTACCCCCTCATTTCCTCCCACCTCCCCCCCATTATTCCTTTTCCCCACTCATTCCCCCCCATTCCCCTCCATTCTTCCCCATGCTTCATACGTCTTTCTTCATGGCTCCCCTCCATTCTCCTCCCCCCCGGCTCCTCCCCTCCCCTCGCCCCCTCCCATCGCCCTGTCTCCTCTCTGCAGACCTCTCCCCCCTCTCCTCCGTCCTCCCATCCAACGGCTCGCGCGTCTTCGCGATGCGCCACGGCCGTCGGATCGCGCGGCTGGGTCGCCCCGCCGACCAGCGCAAGGCCCTCCTGCGCGGACTCACCACCGAGCTGCTCCGCCACGGCAGAATCAAAACCACCGCGGCGCGCGCGAAAGCCATGCGCAAATTCGTGGACCACATGATTACGCTCGCCAAGGGGGGGAGTCTGCACGAGAGGAGGCAGGCGCTAGGGTTTGTGTATGATAAGACGCTGGTGCACGCGATTTTCTCGGATGCTCCGGAGAGGTATGCGGAGCGGGAGGGAGGGTACACGAGGATTATCAGGACGATGCCGCGACGGGGGGATAATGCTCCCATGTGCTTTATCGAGCTGGTGTAAGCGGACCAGGGGAAGCAGTAGGGAGCATGGCAGGGGTCACTTTTAGTATGTTGGAGGAGGATAAGTGCAGCACAGCAAAAGCAGGAGTGTCTGACAAAAGGGAACAGCAATGTACTGGTTTTCTAAGTTTTTTTACATCAGCCATGAATACAGGTTATTCAGTCTGCTACAGAACTTGTTGATCCATCCCTGTTTTTGCTAGAAAATCCGGCTGAGATCTAAACGAGGTGGAGAGAACACCCAAAATTGTGATATTGGCCATACGATATAAGCTACACTTGAGCATTAGCATGTATGTAGCGTGTATGCCAAACTACACAACAGGGCAGCTAGGCCCTCAAAATTGCCGAAGTGGATACATTCACTTGGTACTACAAGCATGCAAGCAACCAGACTCTTGTTTACTAGTTGAAGAGGAACCGGAAGGCTTGGGAAATTTGACATGCACTCTCGTGTTCTCTTGTCCCCTGCTCGCCTGGTGCGCTGAGAATGAGATGGTGAGTAGAAAGTGCTTACGAGGGAAAGCCAATGCTCCTCCTCATGTGCTGGTAGATAGATAGATTAACATCTTGTACCACAAAAACGGATCAGCTTCAAGAGAAGATGGCAGCAAGGGCGTTTTGGATGTTCCTGTATTTGAAGCGGAACCCGAGGCTCTCTGTGCGCTTAGGCAACACACGCTGCCCGTCCAGCACCTGCAAGAAACAAGAGAGGCAAGGAGAAAGAGAGGGAGACTTTGATTCAGCTCAAACAGCACATCAGACAACCCCAGGCTCCCTGCACACTCGGGCAGAGCCTGCTGCCTGTTCAGCACCTGGAAGAAACAACGGTGGGACGGGAGAGACACAGTTAGGTACGTCTTTCTCGAAGAGGCACCTATTACCACCATCGCTCCCTCCCTTCCCATCGCCATGCCTCCCTGCACTAGAAGCCCAAAGCGCGCCTAACAACACCCTTCAGCTATCTCCCTCCCTCCCTCCCTCCCCGAGAACCACCTTCCCTCATAAGCACCTACCACCATGGCGCCCTCCCCTAGAAGAGTCTGCATGGCGAAGTTGGGAACGGGAAGCCACGATGGGCGGTGGTTGGTAGAGTCCAGTCCAGCCCAGCGCCTCACAGGCTATGTGCAGTACCGGCGGGCGGGACTGGCGGTGCAGTGGTACCGTTGCGCACCGTTGAGCACAGTTGAGATGTCTCAAAATTCCTCCCCTAGAAGCGTCTGCACGACGAAGTTGGGAACCAGAAGCCACGACGGCCAGCCAGCCAATGGCCGAACCCAGCGCGTCACAGAACTGGGAGCTTTACTAAGGCTGCACAACCCCTCCCCCCCCCCAAAGCACTCACCACCATGGCACCCTCTCCTAGCAGGGTCTGCACGGCGAAGTTAAGGACGGGCAGCCATGAGGGGCGGCCGATGGCCGAGCCCAGCGCCTCACAGGCCTCACAACCCCCCCCCTCCAACCCCCCACAAAAGGCACTCACCACCATGGCGCCCTCTCCAAGCAGCGTCTGCACAGCGAAGTTAGGAACAGGCAGCCACGAGGGGCGGCCGATGGCCGAGCCCAGCGGCTCACAGGCTGAGCACTGGTAGAAGCACAAGCACCCACCCACCACCATGCTCCAACCACTCACCACCATGGCACCCTCTCCTAGCAGGGTCTGCACTGCGAAGTTGGGGACGGGCAGCCATGAGGGGCGGCCGATGGCCGAGCCCAGCGCCTCACAGAACTGCGCCATGCGGGCGGGGCTGGGCGCAGTACCGTTCAGCACCCCTGTAAACTCCTTGTTGCGCAGGGTTTCGATGATGAGGGCGACTAGGTCGTCCCTGTGCACCCACGACATCCTGATGGGTGGGTGGGATGGCAGGTGGGGAAGGGGTGATGGTTGATGCATGAAGGGGTATTAGGAGCTGGGCGCCTGTACTGGGTGGAGGGGGTGAGGGGAATGTGGGTATGTTGATGAGTATTGGGAGAAGGGGCAACGAAATATG